CGAGTCTGACTCTGCGTATGACGCCAATTTACAGGATCCCCAGCAAGCCTCGAACGTGGCGACAGCTTCGCAGATCGCAGTCCCACAGGGATGGTGAGGTCCAGTCTGAGTCTGCGTACGACGTCATTCCATCGGACCCCCCAGCAGCCCTCCAGACTGGCGACGCTTTCGCACATCGCAGCCCTCCAGGGATGGCGAAGCCTAGTCTCAATCTGAAAAATACCTCACTGCGCTGGACCCCCCATGTGACCGTGCCGCAGTCCTCAGATTCCCGTGGATAGCGAGGTCTAATCCGAGTCCGCGCATGACGCCTGTGCTGGACCCCCCAGCACCCCTCGAAAGTTGCGACAGGTTCGCAGATCGCAGCGCCCCCCCACGGATGGCAAAGCCTGATCTGAGTCTGGGTAGGGTCCCCGCTGTGCTGCTCCCCCCAGCAGGCCTCGAACGTGACGATGATGTCGCGGGTTGCAGCCTCCCAGGGATGGCGACGTCTAATCTGGGTCTGGGTAAGGCCGCCCCCCACTATGCAGCGCCCCCCTGGGATGGCCTCGAAAGTGGCGACCGTTTCGCAGATCAGGTCTAATCTGATTCAGCGTATGGCGTCACTGTGCTGGCCCCCCGGCAGCGGCCCTAGAACATGGCGACAAATTCGCAGATCGAAGCCCCCCAGGGATGGTGAGGACTGACCTGAGTCCGCGTATGGCGTCACTGTGCTGCCCCCACCAGCAGCCCTCGAAAACGGCGTCATATTCGCAGATCGCAGCTTCCCTGGGCTGGCGAGGTCTAATCTGAACCGGGGTATGGCGACACTGTGCTGCCACCCCCTCCAGCCCCCGAAAGTGGCGACAGTGTCGCAGATCACAGACCTACAGGGATGGCGAGGTCTAGTGTGAGCCTGCGTATGGCGTCACTGAGTTGCCCCCCCCTCATCACACCGCAGCTCCCCAAGGATGGCGAGGTCGAATCTGAGTTCGCGTATGGCGTCACTGTACTTGTCCCCCAGCACACCCCGAAAGTGGCGACAGACTCGCAGGTCGCAGCCTCAACGGGATGGCGAGGTCTAATCTGAATCTGCGTATGGCGACACTGGGCTGCCCCCCTCCGCCCGCAGCCCACGAAAGTGGCGACAGATTCGCAGATCGCAGACCGCCAAGGACGGCGAGGTCGGGTCTGAGTGCGAGTATGGCGACACTGCGCGGCCACCCCCAGCAGCCCCCGAAAGTAGCGACCGTCTTGCAAATCGCAACGGGGACGGCGAGGTCGAGTCTGAGTCTGCATATGGCGTCACTGTGCTGGCCCCCCCAGCAGCCCTCGAAAATGGCGACAGATTCGCAGATCGCAACCCCCCCGAAAGGCGCGGAAGGTGCAGGTCGAGGTACTAACTCGTGTATCTCCATGCTTCTGAAATGCTCTGTGCGTGCTCCCGTGCGCCCTCCGAATGCCATGCTTTTGAGCGCGCCGCCACGTCACAAGGCTGTGGAGAGAGCCCTGCGAGCACGATGCGCACGTCGCTGGAGGCGGCATTCACGTGCTGATTGCCGCACCGCGCGACTTCGCCATGAGTGCCCCCATGATAACACCAGCATGCAGCACCATAGCACCTCAGCAGCAGCAACATCACCATCACCATCACCATCACCATCACCATCACCATCACCATGACCATCATCATCACCATCATCACCATCATCACCATCATCACCATCATCACCATCATCACCACCACCATCATCACCAACATCACCATCATCACCATCATCACCACCATCATCACCACCACCACTTCCACCACCATGACCATCACCATCACCCTGGTTATCATCATCATCATCATCATCATCATCATCATCATCATCAGCATAAGCATCATCACCACCACCACCATCATCATCATCAGCATCGTCATCAGCATCATCGTTATCATCACCATCACCATCACCATCGTCACCACCATCACCACCACTACCACCATTACCATCACAATCACCATCATCACGATCATCATCAACATCATCACGCACATCACCATGATCATCCGCCTGAACACCGGCCTTGGCCCCCCCCCCGCAAGTCGGCCGAGGGGCCCGCCAGGAGAGGCGCGGGTGCCTCCCTGGCGGTGTGGGGCGGCGTGGCCCCCCCCCCCGGAGCTCAGGGGGCGTTCGGCTCTTTCAGCAGCCTTGCGGCCTGCCAGCCGAAGCAGCTGCGCGGGTGACGCACGCGGCCGGCGCGGCCGGCACGGCGAGAGGGGAGGGGGGAGGAAGGAGGAGAGAGAGAGAGAGGGGAGGGGGGAGAGGGAGAAAGGGGAGCATGGGAGGGAGAGGGAGAGGAAGGGGGCCGGGAGTGAAAAAAGGTGAGGATTGGAAGGGGAGCGGGGAGGGGAGAGGAAGGCCCCCCCCTTCTGCCCCAATGTCCATCTACCCTCGCCTGTCTATCCTCCACAATTTCCGCCCCGTCCCTCTCGTACTCAGCACCCCCCTTGCCCCTCGCCGTCCAACCACAAGTTCATTGTTATCGTGTCCCCCATCCTTCACATCCGCTTTACAGGCTTTCCATTTCCCCTTTCCACCGCCTCCCCCGTAGCTTTCCCCGCCCGCTTCTCCTCCTCTGCAAACCATCGCCACGGCACGCGCTCCTGCTGATCCACCTGCTCATCCTCTACGAGAAAATCGGGGCATGGGGGCGGTGCACCAGCGGCAAACCCGTGCCCCCAATACCTATACGACCACCCTGCTGGTGATAAGGAAGTTGGGCGGGGGAGGGGGGGGCCAGCAATGGGCAACAGTGGTGATTGTTGCGTTGCCGCTCGCTCTTGGAAGCCTTGGTGTCGAGTTGTTTACGTCATCCTTCGCTCGTGGGCGCCTCGCTATCATTCTCCCCCCCTGGGAACCAACGAAATAATAATATATTTAATTCATTTTGCAAGAGCTTGGGAGCCGTTTGGGCGCATCTTTTGGACCTCTTGGGAGTCTTGGAGGCCTCTTGGGGGGCTCTTGGGGGCCTCTTGGGTGCCTTTTGGGAGGCTTTCGGGGATGGCGAACGCTTGCTGCTTTTCAGGCACCGCAGGACCCAAGGTCTCACTCAATCGATCTCACAATGGACCCCACTATCACTTTCACAATCGATCTCACTCGATCGATCACACTACCGATTTCACTCGATCGATCTCACTATCGATATGACTATCGACCCCACTCAATCGATCTCACTATCGATCTCTCTATCGATCGCACAAGCGATGTCGTTATCGGTCTCACGATTGATCTCACCATCGATCTCACTTTCAATCTCTCCATCGATCTCACAAGCGGTGTCGTTATCGGTCTCACGATCGATGGGGCCATCGATCCCACTATCGATCTCACTCGATCGCTCTCACCATCGATCTCACTCGATCGATTTCACTGTCGATCTCACTCTGGATCTCGCTAGCGATCCCACGAACGATTTCCCCATCGATATCACTCGATCTCACTATCGATGCCACTATTCATCTCACTATCGATCTCACTATCGACTTCACGATCGATCTCACTATCGGTCTCACTATCGATCTCACTATCGATCTCACAATCGATTTCGTCAGCGGTCTCACTGTCGTTTTCGCACCAGCGGGACACCGGGACACCGGCGGGACACCGGCGGGACACCGCGCGCCACCGCTTGCCGGAGAGAGAATCATTTGGTCTGGCCGGGGCCCAGACACAAGCGGGACACCGGCGGGACACTAGCGGGACACCGCGCGCCACCGCTTGCCCGAGGGAGAATCATTTGGTCCGGCCGCGCCTCAGCCACAGGAGACTTTCCTCTCGCCCGCCCACGCAGCTTCGCCTCGTCCGCGCGCACGGCACGCACGAACACGAAACCGAAACCGGTTTCCCGGTAGGGGGGCTCTCCGTTCCACTTCGATCTCACCCCCCAACCTCCATTCATTATCGATATCACTTTCGACCTCAGCACGTGAAACCACGGGACACCGACGGGACACCGATGGGACACCGACGGGACACAATCGATCTCACTGTCGATCTCACTATCCATCCCACTATCGATCCCACTATCGATCTCGATATCAATATCACTATCGAACTCGCTTTCGATCCCACTATTCATCTCACGATCGATTCCCCTATCGATCTCGCTATCGATCCCACTCGATCGATCTCACGATCGATCTCACTGTGGATCTCACGATCGATCTCACAATAGATATCACTATCGATCTCTCACAGTAGATCTCACTATCGATCTCACTGTCGGTCTCATTATCGATCTCACTATCGATCTCACTATCGATCTCACTGTCGATCTCACCACGGGACACCGCGGGACAACGACGGGACACCGGCGGGACACCAGCGGGACACCAGCGGGACACCGGCGGGACACCGCGCGCCAACGGTTGCCGGGAGCAGAACCCTTTGGTCCGGCCGCGGCCCAACCACGACGGGACACCGGCGGGACACCGGCGGGACACCAGCGGGACACCGGCTGGACACCGCGCGCCACCGCTTGCCAGGCGGAGAACCTTTTGGTCCAGCCGCGGCCCAGCCACAGGAGAATTTCCTCTCCCACGCCCACGCAGCTTCGCCTCGCCCGCGCGCACGGCACGAACACGAAACCGAAATCGATTTCCCGGTAGGGGGGCTCTCCGTTCCACTTCGATCTCACCCCCCAACCTCCGATTATACAAACTTTTTACGGGCGCTGCTGTAGATAACTCGCGATGTCATCTTCGTCGCCGTCGTTGTCATAATCAGATGCCATCCTCCTCCAAATGCTCTTCCCGAAACAAGTAACCTGTTTTCCACCATCGAACCAAGACCTCCAGACGACCTCCAGAGGTCCGAACAAGGCCCGAACTAGCCAACCACCACACACCGCGACACTACTCCTCAGAGCTCGATGCTGCGAACCGATAGGCGACTCGACTGCTCCTTCACCTCGGGTGTATCTGCCGACTGGCGCCTTCGTGATACTCCTCGTCCTCTCTCTCTCTCTCTCTCTCCCTCTCTCGCAGCGCTGCGTGACAGATCCCTTGTCCGCGCCCGCATCGCGGCGCCCGCGCTCGGGCGCCCGCCGCCGCGGCCGCTGAGGCCCTCCGATACCACCAGAGGACCTGTCTTCCGTTTGGGACAGAGGGCGACGAGGAGGAGGCCGCCAAGCCATCCTACATCCCGAGGCTCACGAGGTCGTGAAGGAGCGGGGGGGAAGGGGTGGAGGGCGGTCGTGTCACTCACGTGGTGCGAACTACTCAAAACGTAGGACCTTGTATGTAGCGTACTCCATGTAACCATCTGGTCCGTAGCGCAATGGACGGCCTATGGGGAGAAATACCGCGTATCGGCGTACAGTGGTACATCCTTTGAGTCGAACAAGCAAATCAGATTTAGCCACTGTGCTCGGAAACCAATCGTATTTAGGATGGGCGATCCCGCGTACGCGCTTCTGTGGCCCCTCCATGGTAGCTGTGAGCCCACGCTTGTTGTCCGGATGGGTAGGCGATGGTCAACCCATGGTGTTGTAGTATTCTTCAATGACCGCATTGCCATAGTGATCCAGTAGGTCAATGAAGCATATTGAACCACCATAAAATGTAGGGCGATAGTTGAGCTTCATGTCGACGGGTAGCTCCTCCTCTCCGCGGTTCATGTAGTTGGACCAGCGCAGTCCACTCATCGAAGTGCACTCGCAAATAAGCCTGTATCCGCGGCGGGGTACTCAATATCCATTACATAAGGGAAGGCATGTGCTTTCTGGACGTTTGCGAGTAGGCACTTCGCGCGTTGTGGAACGCGCTCAGTGAGTAGTAGACCTTCCCGTCCTCGTGGTCCTCCTCGTCCTCTTCCCCATCCTCCTCCTGCAGCCCAAATCGGCTCAGAACCTATCTCCAGACCCCTTCTGGAATTTCTTTCTCCTGTTTCCCATCACGGAGCGACTCCTGACGCCCAAGTGCCCGAAACGGTCCCATAGAGGCTGGCATCGAAGAGAGATCCCTGGAACGACCATTCTTCTTGCTCGATCCTTCTCTGATCCTCCTCCTCCTCCTCCTCCTCCTCCTCCGCCCCCTCCTCCTCCTACTCCTCTTGCCCCCCTCTTCATCCTATTCCTCCTCCTTTCCTCCTCGACCCCAACCCTCGACCGCTCCTCCTCCTCCTCCTCCTCCTCCACCTTCTCCTCCCCCTCCTCCTCACTATCCCCCTCCTCCCGGCACGACTTTTTTGTTGCTCGATCCTCCTCTTCTCGGGGCAAAACGAATTGAGACAACGGCAACTCAAACTCGATCCCGGGGCCCCTCCTGGGGTCCAAACGTACCGTGGCGACGTTCAGCCGTGGCGACGAGCCCACCCCCCGAAGGCCAACTACCGTTGTCTGGCCCTCCAATGATCCTCCATCTCCTCGATGCGATTCGTTCGGTCATCCTCCGAATTGTCTGTCTTGTCTTTCCGGATGCATGACGCGTGCTGGCGCTGGCCTGCGTTCGAGGTCGCAAAGATGCGAGGGGACTCACTGGATGCTCACGTGTTCAGAAGCTTCCCCCACTCTTGCCACGAGTCAAATCCAGTGATAATGAAGATTGCCAGCTCTCCCACTGATGGAAAAGGACCCCCATCACGCGATGCACGAGCCATGGCAGAGAAAGGTAAGACAGCGACAGAGGGAACCAATACGCAAGGAGAAGACAAGGAAGGAAGCGTCCGAAGAGAACCCCACGGCTCCTTCCACTGACCATGCTCCTCCGTCTCCTCCTCCCGCGCCCCCCGAAGGCCAACTGCCGTTGCCTCAGTTGGCCCTCCTCGTTCGTCTTCGTCGTCCGTCTCCCCCTCCCTCAGCGCGAGGAGGAGGCGCCGGCGGAGGGCTCGGCTGCCGTCCTCTGAGCAGCGGGCGGCCCCTGGAGGAGGCCGCAATGCACTGCGGGCCGCGCCTCGCAAAGCCGCTGCGCGGCGGTCTCCGCCGGCCCTCCTCCGATCCTCCCCCTCTTCCTCCTGATCGTCGTTGAAACGATCCCTGTCCCCATGGGCGTGGCCGGGGCCAAACTGGCCGATTTGATTCCCACCAGATGGGGATATGGGCCGTTTCCTTCAGGTTTCGAGGGGTACATCCCCAACTGGGGTGCTGGCATCGTCGGGCTCGGGATGTGGATGGATATGGGGGTCGTTTAAACGATACTGATCCTCTGATCCTGCCCTCCTCCTCCTCCTCCTCCTCCTCCTCCTCCTCCTCCTCCTCCTCCTCCTCCTCTAACCCCACTCTTCATCCTCGTCCTCCTCCTCCTCATCCTCCTCATTATCCTCCTCCTCCTCCTCGACCCCTCGACCACTCCTCCTCAGCCGACCGATCCTCCTGCGCTCTTCTCTTTTCCCCGGGAAGGCCCGCCCTAAAAGCGGGGGCGCCGGCGGGGGGCGGAGGCGGGCGCCGCAGGGCGGAGGGGGCCGAGGGGGTCGGGCGCAGGCCGCGAGGGCGGAGGGGCGGCGGGTGCTGCCAGAGGTTGCCCTCTCAGCCCAAGTCGGGAAGGGGGGGCGAAGGGGGGGGGGCTGGGCAGAGGAACAAGAAACTGCATTCACGTAATACGGCGGGTCCTTGTCGTGCCGACTTCGGCGTTGGTTCCCGACACCGCGGGGATCGCTTACCCGTAGGCGATCAGCCTTTTCAGAGACGCCTGACCTTTCAGCGATGGTCCGATTCTGGGCCGCGGGCGGCGTTCAGCCCTAAACGCCCGCGCTTGGGTCGCCGCTGGTTGACACGACCTGAACCTACCGTACACTTTTGGAGATCCGCGCGGAGTTCTTGGGTCGGCGCTGAAGTCTCCCCCCCTCCCTGTCGCGCGGAGCGCGCCAGTGGGGCTCCAGCTCCTATCTAGAGAATCCCTGCAGAACTCTGGCAGTTCATGTTTATGCAATCAGCTCCTTCTTCGAATCAAGGGTGCGTCAGCGATCCTCATCTGAAGCGGCGTGAAATGAACTTTGCGCCGTCGGGGACGCCCGTGACGTGCCACCGTGCGGGGGAAGAGTTCATACCTTGACGTGCCACCGTCAGGGTGTAAACTCTCCAGCCGCCCTGGGGCGGGCGGCCCCCATCGCTGAGCACATACAGCTTCCACCGTTCTTCGCCCGCTGAGATCCGGCCGCAGGCAGCCGGCTGTCCCAGCGCCAGGAGCGGTCATGCATCGGGGAGTGCGCCCAGCGGCGGGGCCGAAACCAGCTGCGCGCGGCAAATGTGCCTCATCCCTCTCCCGTACACCCCCTTTCGCCACCACGGCCAACCCCGCCGCGGCCGCGCGAGTGACCGCCTCACGCATCGCTGGCCTTGTCGGGCAGCCTGACGAGCCCGTCCGACTTGCTCAGGTACGCCTGGGGCGGGGACCGCGGGCGTGTCCTTCCCTTGGGGCGGGGAGATGCCACTCTCCCACTCGTCCCTACCCATCGGTCGGAAAAAGCTGGTAGAAACATGAAGTAGGAATCATTGAACGGATACTGGGTGTTCGCCCGCCCCCTACAGCAAGGGTAACCACTCGATGATTGAAGTGGAAAGACACCAACATTAGACTAGAAGATGGGGTCCCAAAACATCACTTTACAACGACCCATGGACACCCTCTACGCTTTACATTCCCTCCCCGCCACCCCTGCAACACCAATATCCATCCCTCCCCTGACTGTCCAAAGGCGGTCCTCAATCGCAGGTCGAACGGATCGGTTGCACAATCGAATCGAATCCCACCGTTCGAGGCGTCGAGTAGTCCGCCCACAGGGCCACGCGTCCGAGTCGGTCGGTGCCGCGCATCATCGAACTCGATCGAATCGTGGACAGCATTGCTTTCCGCGCTCCTTCCTTCTCGCCGTCCCCCGCTTCTTATCGTATTCACCTCCTCCTCCTCCTCCTCATCGTCCTCCCAATCATCATCATCACCACTACCACCACTACCATCATAATCAGCATCATCATCGGCATCATCAACATCACCACCACCATCAGCATCAGCATCAGCATCATCAGCATCATCGTCAGCAACATCATCACCATCAGCATCAGCATCAGCATCAGCATCAGCATCAGCATCAGCATCATCAGCATCAACATCAACATCATCATCATCCTCATCATCATCAGCATCAACATCATCAGCAGCAGCATCTATATCATCAGCATCAACCTCAGCACCATCATCATCATCATCATCATCATCATCATCATCATCATCACCATCAGCAACATCGTCGGGATCATCATCATAATCCGCATGAGCATCAGCATAAGCATTAATATCAACATCATCAGCATCATCATCAGCATCATCAGCATCATCATCACCATCACCATCATCATCATCATCATCATCATCATCATCATCATCATCATCATCATCATCATCCTCGTCCTCCTGATGCCCAGCCACCGCCTTCTCCTGCTCCTCCGTGCGCCTCCATCCTGCCGCCCCTCCCCTCATGTGTCGAGCTCCTCAGAATCACCTCCCGTCCTCCTCGGCGTCTTGCTTCAGACCACGGATCGTCATCGCACTCCTCCTCGGGCCCGGCCCCTCATCCTTTCCCTCATCCTGCCCCTCCCCCTCCTCTGCTCCGAGTCCGACTTTTGTCTGCCAACACTGGCCTCGGGTATGCAGGCCAGCGCCGCGAACTCCACTGGAGAGCGCTCCCTTTGAAGGCCATCAGGTGGTGAGCGTGCGGTGGGACTGGAGGAGAACGACGAGACGAATGAAATACGGGAATAGAGGGCAGGGACGTGGTGAGAGGGGGGAAACAATGAGAGAAGAGGATGGAGGAGGGAGACACAAAGAGAAAAGGCGAGGGCAGAGGTGAGGGAAGAGGGAGAAGAGAGGATGGAGGAGGGACAGGAAGCGAGGGAGTGCGGGACCTTGTCGGACCTGACGGCTGGGGGACAGAAACCAAAACAAAACGGTGGAAGCAATGGTGACCCCGGTCACCGACCTGTCCTAGCAACGCTGCCGCTACCCTGCCAACACATGCGCGGCCCCCCCAAAACTGGCTCGTCCGTGCTGGGAGGCCTGACGATGTGCTGGCACGCTGCCTGCCGATGAGGACCACTCAACCAAAACCCCTCGCCTGGCCCACCAAAAGCGGTGGAAACAGCGGTGAATCCGGCAACCGACCTGTTCAGGCAGCGTTGCCGCTACCCTGCCAGCACATGCACGGCCCCCCCAACAAAAACTGGCCCGTCCGTGCTGGGAGGCCTGACGATGTGCCTGCACGCTGCCTGCCGATGAGGACCACTCAACCAAGCCCTCGCCTGACAGCGACAAGCCGCAACGTCGCCTTGGTAGCCGAAGCGGCGCACACCACCATGGCGAGGCACGGCATGCAGCTGAATTGGAAGCCGGGCAAGTCAGAGGCCCTCATCATGTGGAGGGGTAAGGGCGCACGGGCCGCCAAGGCAGAGGCGATGATCGGCGAGCGCCTTGCCTTGGCCCTGCCTGGAGTCCCAGGCATCGAGTCGCCTGGCCCCCTGGTGGAATGACGCGGTGCGCCATCCCATCCGCTTGCCGCCCGACATGCTATCGCCCTCCCGTGGATGCCTGCCGTGCCAAAACCTGGCGCCACGACTCGGAGGATGGGAAACAGAGGCATTGGGATGCAGCTGGTCGGCCCGTGCCGGGTCCCGAAGGAGGGAGGGCATGCGAGAGAGGAAGGCGATGAGCAAACAGGCGGGCCTCAGAACACGCAGAGGACATGGGAGCAGACTAGCTCCGTCACAGAACCGTGCGGCCCGCGCCCGGTCTCCTCGCCAGTAACTGCGTGAACATACAGAGGTCGGTGCCGAGAAAAGTGGGAGGAAGGCGAGGGCGAGGGAGGGAACGGGTGGAGGAGGGGAGGGAGGGATGGAGGATGGAGGTGGGAGGGAGACAAGGAGGGAGGTGACAGGACACATCCTCTGCCCCACCTCCCGCACCCACCGTGCCGCTTCCCGCTTCCCCTCCTCCCCCTTCCCCCGCACGAGCGGCCCGACCCGACCCCTGCGACCACGTGCTGCCCGGGCAATCGCGTGCCATGTGCCATTCCCCTGGTCCATCCCCATGAGGGGGGCCTTCCAGAAGCCCCTGAATCCCCAGGTGGTAGTCCCCCTGACATCTGACGACGGGAGAAGCACAAGGTGGTCTGTGGAAAGACTATGCTTGCTTGCCCCGTCACGCCCTCAATCCACCAACACTTGAACTCAGTAGGCTCTCAGCCTCTGGCACAACTCTGGCTACGTGTGCACTTATCGGTATTCTGGCTAAGAAGCGCAGAAACGCGCACGTCCGAGGTTGTCGCTGCTGTTCTCGCCCTTCGCTACCTGCGGGCACGGATAATCCAAGCCGATCGCCGCTATGCGTCCTGTCTCTATCCTTTACCTGGTTTTGCTTTGTGGGGCTAGCTCAGGGCGCAGGAGTGGGAGGCTAACCTTCGCGTCCAAATCTTTCACCCTGGCGGCCAACTCTGAAGACGGAGGGATTACGATCGGAGGGTCGACCATCGAGGCTCGAGGTCGATAGGCGGATCGAAGAGCCAGGCAATTGGAAGGGGCAAGGGTCGAGGATCCAGGCTGAGAGGATCGACGACAAAAGTTTGGACCGGTCTGGGCGTTTCCGCACCTTGAAGGCTCCGTGTGTTTTCTCTGAAGGTTCCCCGAACCCCCCCCGCTGGCTGGAAATGGAGGGCAAATTGAGGCATTCGGGTTGGGTTGGGGTGGTTTTGTAGGTGGTGAGGAGGGGGAGGGGGACGAAGAAATTGTCGGATGCCCCCTGGGCCCCTGGAAAGAATCCGTGGGATCTCTGGAAGCTTCCTGGGGCTGTCCTTCCTTCCCTCCCACAAGCCATGACGGGCCTGCCTCGATCAACCGGCCACTAGCGACAGCTCGAATCTTACGGAGCCTCTCCCGAGATATAACGGCGGTACTCCTCCGCTTCGTCATCCACCGCCCTGCTCATGCCTCGCCTGTTGCTCCCCCTTCGGAGGCTACATAGCTGTTGAGGCCACAGTCGGCAGAAAATTGCGCCAGAGTCGCGCTCCCCATGATACACTTCCAATATAGGCCACCGAGCCCCAAGGCTCATGCAGCCCTGAGAACTAGGAAACCCTGGACCCCCCGATTTCCCAGGCGCTCCTGGGCGCTACCCCGCGCATGCGGGGCGTTTCGCGTGGGCCTCCAGGACGGCAGCCCCGCCCAGGAGGGCCCCCTAAACCGGCCTGGATGGTCAAGAGAGCCCCGAGATGCCAAAATCATTGCCCAAGAAGACCCCAAAACGGCCTAAGATGGCCTCAAGACGGCCCAAGATGCTCCCAAGACGGCCCAATAGGGCCCCAAGAAGGGCCTAAGAGAGGCTCCAGAGGGAGAATATGAACCGAGTTTTCGAGCCCTTGCCCCAAGATGGCTGCCAGCAAGCCCCAAAGAGGCCACGCACGAGCTTCAGGAGGCCCCCAAGGGGCCCAAATCCAGCACCTAAATCACACCAACACCGAATCCGAGAGGCCTGCGAGAGGTCTCCAGAGGATCCTCACAGCACACCATGTTCGCGCTCGCGCGGTTACAACCCATCGTAAGCTCAACAAATTTGCGTCCCCGAGGCCACTCGCCCTTGTAAACTGCTGCGCGTTGGCGCTCCCGAGGCCACTCTCCACCAGAACTTCCACCATGGCCGCGCTCCTAAAACCACAGCCATTCGTCGTAAGGTACACCAAGTTTCTCGCTCCCGAGGCCAGAATTCTTGGTGGATTGCAACAAATGTGTGTTCCCGAAAATACAATCCGGTGCACATTGCTACGCGTTGGCGCTCCCAAGGCTGCAATCGCCAGCAACTTGCGCCAGGTCTGCGCTCCCGAAATCAAAGCCCACTGTTGTTTACTACACGTTGGTGCTCCCGAGGCCACGAGCTTAGCCCACGGAGGCTGCCCGAGAGCACCCCCCCCTCTCCAGATCAGAAATATTGTCATTTCCTGCGTTGGTATACGCGTTCGGGGGGGTGCGTTTCGGCATCCTCGTCCTTTCCTGAACGTTCGGCTCGGGCCTCGAGGCCAAGAATCCGACGAATCCTTGTAAATAGCTGGGGGTGCGCGCTCTCGAGGCCTCTCATAGATTGCAATCGAAGCGCGCTCCCGAGGCCACCGCCCCTCATCAATTGTTACAGACGCGGGCAGCCAGCCAGCAAACGGCCCAGATCAGCTGCCAACTCCCAAGTTAGACAACCGGCCTGTCAGCCGAGCTGACAGCCACCCTACGGACAAGATAACCAGCCGACCTGCCTGCCAAGCGTGGCCACGCAGGCAACCGGATGGGGGCCAACGGCCGAGGGCCAACCCATGCAGACAAACAGTGACGACGACGAGCGCAGGGACACGGATGATGCGCGAAGTGGACGACGGCGTTGGCCTTGGCCCCCGGAGGCCTCACTGGGCCCCTCGAGGGCCAGACACGGCAGAACCAAAACGCTTGTCCCCAACGCTCCAGTGTGAAAATGTCGGTGGGTTTCTGGCATGCGCCAGCTGGCCTTGCTTGGGTTCCTTGGTCTTTTCTGCTGTCCTCGGGTTCCCGGGTCTTGGTGTCTTGGGTTTGGCTCCTTGCTGCCTCGCCACGCATTGCAGAGCAATGCAAACCAATGCCAGGCAATGCTGAGCAATGCCACGCAGCCCACGCAAAGTCGAACATGATGCCAAGCAATCTGCCAAACAATGCGCCTGTGCATTAGGAACCGTTCTTTTGGGATCGCGCTGGGTTCATTTTGAATCCGCAGAGCCGCGCCCGACCTCATCTCGCTCCTCCCTCTCCGCCTGCCCCCGCAGCACCCCTCGCTGCTGAGGGAGCCCCGCCTACAGCTTCAGCCAAACCGCCCGCAAGGCGGCACCGTCCCCAATGCCCATGTGGGCCACCTCCTCGCACGTTTCGGGGCCCCCTGGGGCAGCTCCAACAGCCGCCCGCATGGCAGCACCGCCCCCCGCTTCGGCACACCCTTCAAACGTTTGGTGTCCGTGCGGAAGCTCCACCTACGGCTTCAGTCCAATCGCCGGCATGGCGGCACCGCCGCCACGTCGTCATACTCCTCACACAGATCGTGCCCCTTTGAACGCGCTCTAGTGTGGCTTCAGTCTAGCCGCCCGCATGGCAGCACCGCTGCCATTTCGGCACATCCTTCGCTCGTCTGGTGCTCGTCCATGGGCTCCACCTACGGCCTCAATTCAAATGCCCGCAACGCCAAAAATTCGGCACGCTCGTCACACGCTTCGGGCCCCTGAGCCAACTCCACCTACGGCCTCCGTCCAACCGCCCGCATCGCGGCACCGCCTCCATGTCGGCACTGTCCTCACACGTTTCGTGCCCTTGGGAACCCACGGTGTCAGTGGGCACCACCGACATTGCGGCACAGCCCCCATGCCGGCACGCCCTGCAAAAGATCGGCGTTCATTCGGAAGCTCAACTTACGGCCTGCGTGCACCGCCCGCATGGCGGCACCGCCCCTAATGCGGCACACGCGTGGCACGACTCGCCCCACCAAGGAGCTCCGCGCGCGGCATTCGCGCGCACCGCCCGCATTGCGGCGCCGCCAACATGTCGGCACACACTTCTCACACGTCGAATCCCTGCTCCACCTCCGGCCTCCGTGGGCACCGCCCGCATGGCTGCGCAGTCCCCATTTCGGCACACGGGGACCCCGCGCAATAGTCGCGCGTGCATCCGCTCATCATGGCGCGTCCCAAGTAGAGCGTGTCCCACGACGGTCTGCACTCTCTGGGGCTCATCCGTGCAGACCCCGCACGGCCGCAGGGCCGGTCCTGCACAGGACACGGGAGGAAAATAGCATGCACAAATTTCCGGAGGCACGCAGCCACACACACACACCCACACAACAACACGCACCACACCACAACACAACACAACACAACACAGCCAACAGCACAGCACACACACACAACACCAAACAACACACAACACCAGACGACACCACAACATACCCACAAACACGCGCGCGTGAATGCCATCACTCAGACGCCGTCCATCTGCACGCCGGACGGCCGCGCTTCCTGTAAGCTACTTGCCCAGGCACAATTGGCCGGAGTGACCTATGATATGCGCGAGAGTGATGCTTGCCGGTCGATTTGGGACCTTGTCAATGAGTCTTCACCCTTGCTTGCCGCGCGCATGGCTCCAGACCGCCGCGCGAGTGCTGTCCCGCGCAGAATCCAATCGTTGTTTCATGCGACGTCCTGTAACATTCCATTCCTCCTCGCCGTGTCTCACCCTGCCCACAATGCGTCTCATCATCCTCCGCTGTGTTCCACATCTAGTATCTCCAACTGCGATGCTGCAAACGGAACTGTTGATGGGCTATATAAGACTGTTGGGCTGACGACAGCGTCGAACAATCGAAGGCGCAATGTGGCCGGAATCTTGTGGTTGAGCAATGTGTGGCGCAGCTCATGAACACGCATCCAAACACGCGACAGACGATGATAAATATTTCCCCGCTCCCTCGAAGTAAGATCTCTCAACGAAGATTGTCCAATGCGCTCGTGGGAAGAAACTGCCTTGGCGACTTCCGCGAACATGCCCGCGATGTCCACGAGCAAAGATGTTGGTCCAGAGGGCACTGCGGCATCCGTCGTCAGAAGCTTCGTTTTGGATCCATGTGCCACAAGGCCAGCATTGGCAAACTCCTCCACAGGCACCGCAGTCACGTCCTCGACCTCGCACAAAGACTTCGCAAACAATAACTTCGTCCACGAAACGGACGTTCGTCAGCCGGTCAGCAGCGTCGCTGGAAAGTTCCACCGGCGCACGACTACTTCGGTTGCTGCGTTGAACAAAAGAAGGCTTAATATGTCCCCCTGTCTGACTCCGCGGCAGATCGCAAACGCGGTGCCGTCGACAATGCCCACCTGGTCCGAATGTTTGAACTTCAGCAGGACAATGTACCTGTCCGGCAATCCGAGTTCCGTCAGCGAGCCCAGCAAAGCATTATGCTCGAGCGCGTCGAAAGCCTCGCGCAAGTCCACGCATAGCTTCCAAAGCGGAAAATGCCACTCCAGAGATGCCCCGGTCATGCATTCTAGGGCCATCAATGCCTCGTCGACTCCGCAAGCTGTCCGGAGACCCATTTGCGAACCTGAGATTTGCGGGCCCAGATAAGGACGGGTGCGCATGTGATCCATCTTGGCGAACACTTGATAAACGACGTCGAGGATGGCTACCGGCCGCCAATTCTGCGCGCCCCTCAGGCCTCCACTCTTCGGCAACATCACAATGATAAGCTCGCTCCAGTCTCGAGGGAAACGGCCGCCCTGTAGCACGTCGCTGCAATTCCGCAACAAGACGTGCTTAATGGCGTTGCCACCTTGCGCCAGCATCCCCAGAACCGCGCCGCGCTTGTCAGCGCACTTACCCTGGGAGAGAACTTTCAATGCGTTCACTGGCTCGCCCACTGCACATAGAACTATCTCTCGCAGCAGCATCGCGCCCCCCCCCCCCCCCCCCCCCCCCCCCCCCCCCAAGACCGGTCTGAAGCATGCGTTCCCCATAGCATTCTTGCAGCGTCTTCCGTTTTGCAGCGTCTTCCGCGGCTTCGACGTCTTGTTTTGCCTGGGTTCGGCGGCTATTATGCGATGCTGGTGGAGGTCCCCGAACATCGTGAGCTGCTCTTGCAGCCGCTGTGTCTGCCAGCGTCTCAAAGCTTGCCTCGTCTTCTTGGCTATTTCCTTCGGCAATGAAGTGCGCCCCCTCGCGGCCCGCGCCACGTCTCCGTCGTTTCCTCGAGTCTTCGAGCTCTGTTGCGCCCCGCTTCCAGTCTTGAAGTTGGGCCCCGACTGCGCCGGAAGCGCGCGCGACAGTTCTCATGGCGTCCTGCAGTTCATGCCAAGACAAATCCCCACCTTCATCCAAGAGGATTTCCGACTCCTCTTAATAGCTCGGAAAACCCGCCCATTTCGTCGACGATCAATTTTTCCGCCCGCTGGCGCCTACAAGAGGCGCAAGAAAAGCGGCGCAGACGGCGCGATGACCAGATGCACAATCGAACTCGTTCGCGGCTGCCGCGCCAGAAAAGCTCAGCGAGGAGGAACAAAATATGCAATCGATATTACGTTTATGACCCAAGGTGCTTTTAAATGTCCACGGAGGCCCCAAATCCACATCGCCCCCAGGTCGTTGTCCGATGCGAAGTTGGACAGCAGGTCTCCACGAACGCCACGATGCAGCATAATATTAGAATCACAGATCAGAAGCACGTGCCGCTTCGGCGAATTTGGTTCCGCCATCAGAATTCGAAGTCCGGCAAAGAAACTGTCCAAATCAGCCCGCGTGGTGGAGCATAGACGCAGATCACCCGGAAGTATTGTCCATTGTAATCAATGTCTACCAACAGATGCATGCCAGACAACTTACGGATATGAATGAATATGTCAGTAAGGCGCGAATTCAAAAGGATAGATACACTTGGGTCTCTCACTTGATCACTTGCGCTCGATATTCGACGGTGCCCTCCTGCCAAACATGTCATCGCCATCAGCAGCCCGTGTCTCACTGAAACCGACGATGTCCCCGTAGATGCCGTTCAAATCGGCAAGCAAAATCAAAAGTCTTGTCGGAGAATTGATTCTTGCATTCTTGCAGAACACCTTCAAAAACTGCAGATGAATTCTGCGCGAGACCGGTGGTGAAACGTGTAGCTGCGCGGGGTGACCCCTAGTGCCCTGGCTCCCCCTTGCCCACTCCCTTTCCGAAGATCCGGCAAGTCCGTCCACTCTGCCTCCTGGAACTGCTCCTCCCAGCCCGGCTCGAGGTAGAGGCGCATATCGTCGTTCTCGGTGCCTCACCTTCATCACGAGGCCGCCGGCTAACTTCAAGGTGTTCGTTTCGGGGTCCGCCCAGAGAGCAGACTTGTTAGATCCCCATTTCACAAGGTAGCGCTTCGCAGCAAAGATGATCAAGTTAGGGATGCGTGCCTTCAGCGGCAAGTCCAACTTGGCCCACATCGCATCCCGCTGCTATTCCAGCTGTTGCCCAATACTTTTGGATACAACAATTTCACGTTCAACGTTGGACGCAAACCTTGCGAACAATCTGCCGGTGAAGTCGCGTTTGACAAACGTCTCGGGCGGCACTGGCGCTCGATGTACTTGAGCTGCCGCGTCACCCAATATTCTGCGTCATCTTGAAAGACTGCCCATTTCGAACCTCCCATAACCGCCACTGTGGCGTTTTCTTCAGATGTTGCTCAAAATTTGCGAACTCATCTTCTGGTTTCTCTCTGTCTCATATGAAGCACTCCTCTGCGAAGGGGTCAATGAACCATCCCTAGTACCGGACTGCTCCAAAGCATCGATACGACAGGAAAATTGTTGCATGTCGTATTTAATCGGGTCCAGGGCCTCCTGCAACTCTGCTCTGGAAATCCCATGCTCCTTGATAGCTTCGATGTCCCTGTGGATGTGCTGCAAGTACTGCTTGGACATGCCCTCGATCGCGGTCATGCTGATCCCTGCTGCAGCTGCGACTTTCCCCGGAAAAGATGGAAGAGGAAAAGGGGGGAGCAAGTGCACTTGACCTGGAGGTCCTGCTCTTGAAGACCCGCCTGATGTGGGGTCCTTGATGTCTGGTGCTTGGCCATGGCCTGCAACTCCAGCTGCAGTAGATCCTTCAGAACCTTCCACCCCGTCCATCTCGTTGAGCGGGCTGTGGGCCCGAAGCTTCTTGTCCTTCGCGTTCGGCGGCGTGTCTATGGCAAGTGTCTGAACATGGCCCTCGAGTAGCTGCCTGACGGGGGTACAGTACAAGGGCGCGCGAGTCTCGCCAACAGCACCTGAAAAAGATATTGACTTGGTAGGTACGTTAAGCAGATCGTGTGTGCAGGATTTTCGAGCTGCGTCCAGTCATGGTAACAAAGTGGCTCCTTGAGCCCACTTGTGCTCTTCACCATGCCCATGTCGGCACCCTTCAGGCGGCTTGCAGTATATGGAGATAACGCCTCGCACTGCGCTGCTCATACGTACACGCGGCTTGGGTTCTCTGGCGGAATCTAACAGATCCCCGTCAACGGCTGCCTAGCACCATGCCGTAGGTACTGCGCGAAGTGTCCTAACTTTCCAGAGTATCCTCGCATTTGAATATTCAAAGTGCATGCTCTTTCAGGGGCCAATCCGCTTGAATGTCTGATGTTTCCCATGTAACTTCCATGACTTTTCAAAGTATGGCCCACTTTCAGGACGGTCCGAGGAACGCCTAGGACGGTCCAAGAGGGCCCCGAGACACCACAAGAGCGTCCCAAGATGTTCCAGGAGGCCCCCAAGAGGCCGCCCCAAAACGACCGTCGGAGCCAGTTCTCCCAGAATGGCCCCCGCCCACCCCCTTGCCTGCAGAAACGCACAGGAAAATCTGAGAGAGGCCTAGAAGCGGCCTCCCAGCGGCTCCTCAGAGGCCACGAGCCCCCAAAGCGCCCCCTCAACGGGCCTCCAAAAGGCCACAAATGGGCACCCCAAGAGACTCCAAAAAGCATCCAAAAGGCCCCTAGCCTGGAAACAGGCGCGGTGGCGGCATGGGCCGAAGGCCAGCAAATATTCAAAACACTTTGATGCGGGGCAACTTCGGGGGGACCAGCTCAGGGGAAGAACATCGACCTGGAGTCGGCGATACATCGCCGATAGATCGGTATTGGGTTTCCAATGGCCAAACCGCACGTTGTTGGGCGAGGTGGGCTGGCGGGCCCCCATCGGCGATCGATGCGCGATTGGGGGCCGACGTATCTCCCTCTGATCGGGGGCGTCCAAAGAGGAGGGCGTCCAAGAGGGGGGGACGCAAATCATGGCCCGAGGCGTGTGGGGGGGGCTTCGAGACGCATTGAAACAAGAAAGGCGCCATGCAACATGGGGAGATATCAGGACCCCCGCCATGGACATCCTCCCCCCCGAGTCATCTCCGAGCTGAGCCCCCCCCACCCCCTAACGTTGCTCCTGAAAGTAGGCGGACGCGTGGGGTTCGGGGGTCCTCTGATCCGGGTCATCCAGACCCAAGTCAGTCAGGCCTTGCGGAATCCTGCAAGATCCTGCACCCACACCCGGGTCGATGCGGAGGATCCTGCAAACTCCTGCAGGCTCCTGCACCCGAGCCCGGGTCAGTGCGACCCTGGCCCTGCAGGATCCTGCAAGGTCGGGCGCTCTGGCTGACCCCCGCTTGCACTGGCCCCCGTCTCAAGGCTCCCGAGGGGTGCACGTTCGCGTCCATCCGCCGGCCGCGGGGGGGCCAGCGACGGCACCGCGGAGGCGGCGACGGCGTCGCGGGCAGAGCAGCCGGGCGGGTGGGCCCACGTGCTCGCTGCAGTACCTCTGCACCAGCGCGTCGCGCAGCCGCTTCCAGGGCAGCTCGTTGCCAGGCGCGGACTCGCCAGCGGGGGGGCTCGAGGATCGAGGTTCGAGGATCGAAGGGTTTGGGCTTTTCCCCACATCCAACATGGGGTTCTTGTTGACTCTGCCCCTCCCCGCGCAGGGGACCTCATCCCGTCTCTTCCCCATCTATCAATCATCATGGCATCATCACCATAACCATCTTCATTACTATCACCATCTCATCATGATCGTCCACCGTCATCATCACCATCATTCGCCCACCCAACCACAGTCACTCATCACCTACCCACTCATCACCATGCCATGATCATCTCCATCGTCTTTGTCAGTATCGCCAAGCATCGCCATCATCACTCAACATCGCAACCGCAAACCCGTCTGTGAGTGACTAGCGAGGGAGTCTCAAGCTGGAACCCCCTCCCTATGAGGCCCGCACTTCATGTTCGAATTCGAAGCGGGTCATCGAAAAACGCCACCAGACAAATCACTTCAGCACCCCACGGAAGCAACTCGTCAGTGAATCGCCAAGACAGTCTCGGGCGAAAACCCCCTCCCTATGGGGACCGCACTTCATGTTCGAATCCGAGGCGAGTCAGCGGAAAGCTCTACCGGGCAGAGCACTTGCGCACCCCAAGGAAACGCATTGTGAATGAATTGCGTGAAGTATCGAGCGATAGCCCCCTCCCTATCGGGCCCGTGTGTCACGTTCGAATCCGACGCGGGTCACCGAACAACTCAACCAGGCATAGCACATGAGCACTCTAGAGAGGCAAATCGTCAATCAGTATCGAAGAACCCTCGGGCGAAACCTCCCTCAATGTGGGGCCGCGTTCCGCGTTCGAATCCAGGGCGGGCCGTCGGAAAACCCCACCAGGCATGGCAACTCAGCACCTTCAGGAGGCAACTCGTCAGCGAATGGCGAAGACATATGGAATGACAACCCCGTCGCTGGGGGGCCCGCGCGTCATGTTCGAACCCGAAGCGGGTCATCTGAAAAGTCCACCAGGCATAACACTTGAACACCCTAGGAAAGCAACCCGTCAGTGAACAGCGAAGAAGCCTCAACAAACACTCCCTCCGTATGAGGCCCGCGCATCGTGTTCGAATCCGGAGCGGTTCATCGAATAACTCCACCAGGCATACATCGCAGTGCAACACCCTAAACGAAGCAAGCCGTCATTGAATAGCGTGGAAATATCGAGCGGGAGCCCCGTCCCCTCTGGGGCCCGCGTGTCACGTTCGAATTCGAAACGGGCCATCCCAAAACTTTTACCAGGCATCGCATTTGAGCACCCTCAGGATGCATAGTGTGAGCGAGTAGCGCGGAAGTCTCGAGCGGGAGCCCCCTCTCATATGGGCCCCGAGCTTCATGTTCGAATCCAGGGCGGGTCGTCTCAAAACCCTAGCACGTATGGAACTTCGACCGCCCAGAAGAACTCCGTAGGCATGCGAATTGTCAAGACGTATCGAGCGGACCCCCCTCCCTGAGGGCCCCGCGCTTCATGCTCGAAGCGGGTCATCGGAAAACCATGATAGTCATAGCACTTGACCACCCCAAGGAGCCTCGTCTGTGAATGAACGCATTGTGAGGAAGTCTCGAGCGGGAACCCCCTCTCTATGGGCCCCGCGCTTTCATCTTCGAATCCGAGGCGGGACGTCAGCCTACGACAGCAGGCGTAGCACTTGAGCAGTCGAGAGAGCCCCGTCTGTGGTCAAGTTGTGAAGAAGTCTCGAGCAGGAACCCCCCTCCCCACGGGCCCCGCGCTCCATGCTCATATCAGAGGCAGGTCATCGGCCCACCATAGCCGGCAGAGCACTTGAGCCCCCAAAGGAGCCTCGTCTGTGAGCGAGTTGCGGGGAAGTCTCGGGCGGGAACGGGGCCCACAGCTCGTGATACGTATCCGAGGCGGCCCTCGGAACCCTGAAACTGTCGTCATTGCTGGCCTCTTCGACCTCGAAAAGGGAAAGAATCCTTCCGCCACGCGCGTACGACACATGCAGATATCCCGGCCGCCCGTGCGAGAATTCCTGGAGTACGGGCCGCCGGCGTCCTTGCGGGAGGCGCTCAGAAAGTTCAACATGACAGCCGTGAGTTCCAGGGCTGAAGCATAGGCTTCGGGCTGCCTCCCGCCTTTGCGCGGCCGCGAGTAGCTCGAGGCCTGCGGGGTTGTCCCCAAGGTTTGCTCCCGCCCCCAATGCCAGCCGCGGCGGCGACGGCGCCAATGAAAATCGGCTTGCGTGCCCCCGCCAGAAGGAAGGAGAGGCGCACGAGGAGAAGCGCGACCCGCAGGGCATCTTGCAGGTCCCACAGGTCCTACACGCCCGCCCCACAGGTCAAGCAGGTCCCCGAGGTCCAACAAGTCCCATAGGCCCCACAGGTCCTATAGGCCGCACGGGGACCACAGGTCCCACAGGTCTCACAGGTACCACAGGCCCTACAGGTCGTACAGGCCACGCAGGTCGCACAGATCCCACAAATCGCACTTGTGCCACATGCCCCGCAAGTCTCAAAGACCCCACGAATCCTATGGGCCCGACAGGTCTCAACGGCCCCACAGGTCGCATCCTGGTATACTGGCATCCTAGCAGTGTTAACCTCGCTCGTCGTCGATGATGGCGACTCTCACGCGCAGTAAGAAGACTCTCATGCGGGATTTCTCCGTCGGAATCATGTTTGTCCTGTCCGAGCCCCTGCCTGGCTTCTCGTCGCCACGGCTGGATTCCCACCGAAATTCTGGTCAGAATGCACCCCAAGAGAGGCCCAGGATCGATCTTCGAGACTGGAGGCCGCCCAGACGGGTCTGGAGCAGGTGGGGTCGGACGATCGGGCTGCATCGCCGACGTATCGGAGGTGCATCGGTGACGCATCGGGAGGAGGAAGAGGAGGAGGAGGAGGAAGAGGAGGAGGAGCGAGGAGAGACGAGAGACGAGAGAGGAGAAGGAGGAGGAGGAGGAGGAGGATCGCGCCGCGCCACAGACGCCATGGCGATGCGGCGCGATCCGCCGCCTCGATCTGCCATGGCCCCGTGCGGGCGGCCTGGTGGCGGCGGGCCCTCTCAGGGGAAAGCGAGGGGCAAGGGCGGCCGGCGGCGGGGGAAGCAAGGGCGGGCAGGGCAGACAGAGCTCGGCGAGGCCCCAGACCACCGACGAGTCGATCTTGTGCCAGTGAGTGGCAACGTGAAGGGAGGGACTGGCTCGGGGGGGGGATGTCGTCATGGAATCGGCGATAGGCCCCCGATAGCGAAATCGCACGCTCCCGGGCGGAGTGGGTTATCGGGCCCCCATCGGCGATCGGTGGGCGACGATGCATGCCCCCCTGAGCATCTCCCTACCTTACGTTTCCCCTTTCGTCTGGACCTTGGACTCTCGATCCACTGCCCGAGACCGTCCTGCTCGCATAATTCCTTATGAGTACGGGCGGTGCCAGAGCCACCGCAGTGGCCGGCTATATCAACGCAGGCCTGTCTGCGAGTAGAAGGGCCTGTGAGACGGTGAGAAGGCTGACGAAGCAATCCAGGGATCCACCACAATAGACCTGCTTGTGCTGCTGGCGCGAAATGTGCAAATTAAAGAAGGCATTCAAATTTGCCTCAATCCGCGATCTGGTGAGGTAGAGTCTGGCCGCCCCAACCCTGGCGGTGCCTCCTAGGACTCAAGATCCGTATGGGAATGCGAAACGGATACGACACTGCACCCACCCACGGGTGCACGGGCGAAGTAAAGGGAAAGGGAAACGGAGATGGGGAAAGATGGACACGGATGTGGGGTGAGGGAATTAGAATTACAAATGCGAAACCGTGTGCACTCTGCTGGCACCATGATAGCGCCAGAGCAGAGCAACCTGCAAGTATGTTATACAATAGCCTGTGACCACAAACATATCAAACATATGCGCACCAACACGGACACTGGAATTCATCGACAACCAACGCGTAACGCAATATGCCTCTGAGCAGAACAGGTTTCCCGTGAGTGCATCAGTAGCCTGCGAGCACCTCAAGGCGGCTGTGCGAACCAAAATACGCTGCGCTGGTGATAGCCAGGTGGCGAGGGAAGTCGGACCCTGTCAGGAACACAATAGTCTGCGATCGCCACACATGCGCGCAACAACATGCCAGAGCCTGCAAGTGCCGGGAAAGCATTCGAGAGAGGAGGAGGAGGTGGAGGAAGAGGAAGAGGAGGAAAAGGAGGAGGACTACGACGACGATTAGGACGATGAGGCACATGCGGACGAAGAGTAGGAGTAGGAGTAGGAGTAGGAGGAGCAGGAGGAGGGCGAGGACGACGAGGGCGATGACAAGGCTGACGAGGATAACGACGAGGGCGACGCGGACGACGGTGCCAACGATGACGAGCATGAGAGAGCAGGAAGAGGACGACGACGAAGTGAGGAAACGCAGATGGAGCAGGAGAAGAGGGAGGAGGTAAAGGGGCCTCTTGGGAGCCACACATGGCCACGTTTGCAAGAAGGAGCTGGCACAGCCAGCCGCGGGCTGGACTCTCCAGATTTCGGGGGCCCGGGGACAGCGGCGGCGGCGTCGCCCGCCGCGGCAGGCGGCCGTCGCAGCAGGCGGCCGCCGCAGCCAGGGCAGAAGCCGCGCAGGCGAGCACCACAATGTGCCCGCGACCACCAGACGGTGAGGGAGGCAGGACCCTGCCAATGCCACAAAACAGCGTGCGAGCTCCGCCCGTGTGCGCAACAGCATGACAGACCGTACAAGTGTTTTCTCCCCTCTAATCGACACGTGCGATGATGATGAACATTGCCAGCCTCCACGCTGAGGGAAAGAGGCCTCCACAATGCTACGCACCAGCCACGAAGAAACATGACAAACACGCGGGTAAGGGAGAGGATGCCAGACCCCGCAAGTGCCACACTAGCCTGAGCGCCGCAGCGTGTCTGCGAACCTGGGCAATGAACCTTCGAACACCACAATCGCCTACGAACGCCACAACTATCTGCCAATCAGTCGCTACGCAAACAGCCAACCGCCCGCGAGCGCCACCAGCAACCTGCGACCACCACGCAGGAGCCTCGGCCGCGCCCTGCTGCGAGGCTGCCGTGTATCGTCAAAACCCATAGAACCCATAGTCTGGAGGCAAGGCAGGGATGCAAGACCCTCGGACGTCCAATCGACCCTGTAGAGCTCGTTGGACGTCAACTTGTGCTCAGGGTGGACAGAAAAACATGGATATACAAGGGTAGACTTGATGAAGCACCGCATTTACACTATGGAGTTTGACTGTACGCGGGCCCTGCGGCAATGCTTGGGGCGTTGCACCAGGGGGGGGCAGGGTCAACGATGGGGGGAGAACCTGATGAACGGAGGGTTGTGGGAACATCTAGATTGAACCAGCGACACCTCGCCGACAGGTCGGCGACGGGCCTCTGACAGCGAATCGGCACGCTCCTGGACGGGGTGGGCCAACGGTCCCACATCGGCCATAATGCGATGTGGGACTCTCGACGACGACGGGAAGAAGCATGAGCGAGGAACTGACACGGCGAGCACCAGAAACCCTGAACCGAAACAAACATGCAATCAACTGGGGGTTCATTGCTTGCTTCCGCCGAATCCGCCGGCCTTCCGCCGAGGAAGGAGTACCGCCTCACTGGGGGTTTGAGAACCTGCGGCCCAGGTTGCAGCCTGGAGGCCACGAGTGTAAGCATTGCGCCAGACAGCGCGCGAACAGGGTGACACATGAGGCAGTTGGCGCCGAAAATGTCTATATCCTACGATCCTCGAAGGCGAGGCTTTCTGGTACGCCTCCAGTAGCGGCACCCCCGTGGGGTGGGGGGCGCCTGAAGCTCCTCGTCGAGGGCCCGCTTCCAACCTCGCCACGCCGACGCGCCGGCGCCGGCGGCCTCCGCCGGGGCGAGCGCGTCGCTGTCGCTGCCGCTGGGGAAAACAAAATATACCGATACCGCTGCTTCCCGGGACCTTTGCTGGGGTGCGTTCTGACCAGAATTTGAAGGCGAACCCGGCCGTGGTGACAAGGGCCTCCCAAGGGGTCCCCAACAAAAACGAAAACGAGGTAAGGGTGGCGGAATCGGAACCTCGTCTTCCCCCGAAGAGTGGGCGTCGTTGGCGTCGTCGTCGTCTCGGCAGGTCAGCTTGGAGTAGAAGCGGGTCCAAATTTGTGTTCGCCGCGATCGGGTTCCTGGGCCCGCTCTCGGGAACAAGGGCCGCGAATGAACGAGACGGGAGGAAGGGCAAGGCCCCAGAGGGTCGAGGCCAGGACCCGTTTCCTTCATGCCCGTCTTGGCCGTCGCCGTAGTCCTTGGTGGCACTGGTAGGCTTCGCCAGGCGCAGCTCCCCCCCGTGTTCCTCATCCTCTTTCTGCTCATCGTTGCACTGGTCCTGCTCCTCCTGGTCCATCCTTCTTTTTGTGTCCACCTCGTGCAGGTCCTCTCTGCATCGCACAAATGCCTGCCCCACGCGCCGCGGGAGGGCAGAGGGACACCGAGGCCCGCTCCGCGGCCCAGGGGAGAGTCGCTCCCAAGACATGGGGCGCGGCGTCCCGATCGTCGCCTTGATGCGCGTCGCAGCGACGCCCGAGACGCAAGGGGCGCGAAGAACCCGACGCTAGAACGTGGCCCTGGTGGCTCGGGCGGCGCCTGCCCCAGAGGCGCACCACCTCCCGCTGTGCGCGCCTGCAGGGGCGAGGCATGGGACGATGCCACGCGGACCTCCCGCGCGGAGGACGCCCCAATACGCTGCGGCCCGATGCGCAGCTGGGACTTATGAGTCGGATGAAGAGTCGCTGCTGGAAGACTCGTCCAAATGCGCCTGCGAGCAACGAATGCATTACGAACCGCCTTAATGCGGAACGCGTCGCGCCTTCAGTACGGCGCCGGACTCAAGGTCCTGAGAATAAATCTATTGAAAGAGCGCTGGCGAACGCCGCTGCCCGGCTTTTAGAATCGCCCCCAAGCGACCGCCACTTTCAAGCATGTCCCACGCGCGCCCCGCGGGCGCAGCGCGCGAATGGGCGCGGTGCCCGAGCCTGCGCATGGCCGCGGCGCAGGTCGCGAGACCGATGCAGCTGTGCCTCGGGGACAGACATCATGGTCAGTATCCTCCGCAGGGACCACAGCGCCCTGCGAGGCGTGGAGCTCGGGAATTATTGATGCCCCCGGGCACGCGACGCCGCAATCTTTCCGACCACGTGCACGGGGCAAGTTTCTGGGCGCTTTGCGCGCCAGCAGCCGCGGACCAACTCGGCGCCCGACGGCGGATTCGTTCTGCTGGCCAGTCGCAACCGCAGTTCGTCCCTTGCGACATACAGGCAGGACCCCACTCCGCCCGCGGGCTCGTTCGCTTCCCGCGCGCATGGGATTGCCTCCGATGGGGCGCACAGCAGGAAACATGCGCCATTAAGCACAATACTTGCGTCTCTCTCAGTTCAGCGTCGCGCCAAGCCAACTTCAGCATGCGCGCGACTATGCCGTGCCGAATATACATCTTCTTGCGCGGGGCGAACAGCCGTCGCTTCCTGCGCGCGCCGACAGACCGCGCGACCTGGGCGCGACCGCCCCGCCCGCCCCGCGACCGCCTGATAGCGGTGCGAGCCCGCGCCAGGTCGGGCGTCTTGAACAATGCCGTATCCGCGCGGCAGAGCATGCGCACTGCGCGCACGAAGCTCAGATAATTCGCGAACGTCCCGCTGCGCCGAAAGGGCGATGCCCGTGCGAAAAGAGAATCGAGGGCGGGCGGGATCTGGGCACCGCCAAGGCCCAGGGAGCCCTGGCAGAATCCGTTCCAACACCGCACCCCGCGCCGCAAGCTTGCAATTGACCGGGGGGATGATCCCAGCAGCGACCGCGCGCGCTCCCGCTCGACCCAGTTGGCGCGCGCCGCTGGCGCGCGCAATTGGCACCGCAGCGACGCTGTAGCGGCGCGCGGACCCTTGCCTGGGCACAGCGCCGCCGGCGCGGTGACATCCCCCTCGCCGGCTGTCCCCGCGGTGGCGGCGACCTCGATTGCATCCAAAATGCCGAATGATGCTGGCGACAGCGGCCGCGACTCACCTCGCACTGGGCTGAGAGACCTTCGCGGCGCCGCCGCAGGTCGCTTCCGTGGCGCGCGCCTGCGAAGCAGCGATGCCCGCGACGATTGGCAGGCCCCGGGAGAAATTCACCTGCGGCCCGAGCCATGCCCAAGAGGGCGCCCCTGGCCACTCAAGTCGACCGCGCAAGCCCCGACCAAGTCCTCGATGGCCCGCAAACGTTTGGCGGGCAGGATCGCCGCAGCCAGCGCGATGCCCCTCGCTTCACGAGCCGGGGCCGGCGATTGAAAACACTCAATGTGGTGACGCCACTGCGCGAGCCTCGCTCATGGGAGCGATGCGCCGCTGCGCTCGCGATGCGCCCAAGACGCCGCCGGGCTGAGCTGGCCAGTCGCGGCCGCCGCCAGTGCGCGCCCGTGCAAAGCGCAAACGTGACTTTCGCGGCGGCGCTACTTCGCGCGACCGCGGCGCCTGCTCCACGCTGCCTTCCACGGCGGCAGATTCGCCAACGTCTGGGGCTTCCCCTCTTGGCCGTTGGCCTCGATGGCACTGGCCGGATCGAGGAGGCCCTTCCGCGATAGCGACGCGCTGCGCGAGTTGGATCGGGAGACCAGCGCGCCTTGGAGAGATTCTTCTACATGTCCTCTTCTAGGGCGACCTCTTCGGGGGCAACGAATTCAGGGGGCCACTTCTTTAAATCGACCGGCGCAAACGGCGAAGCTACGCCGACCTTCTTGAGCTTGGCCGCCTCTGCAGTCAGTTCATCCGCGCGATGCGAACTGCGCGCGACGCGACGCCGAAACTGCGCCACGCGCGCGGGCGAGCGCGAGCGCCTGGGCCAAAATTCCGCGGGCAATCCTTTCATGCCGATGTCAAACACCATGCTGGCAAACTCGAAGTGCGTCGCCTGCGCGGCGGCGAAAACGCCGCGCGCACGCCCCCAGCGGGCGCGGCACCTCGCCTGGCTTCTTGCCCGGAAGTAACGCTTTAAGCACCGCCCCTGGGTCAGCGACCCCGGGCTTCGCCGCGCTTTCCTCGGCAGCGGCGGCGAGAACCCTGCGCGCGTGGGCCTTGCGTCCAGCATCGAGTCCATTCTCTTCCGTGGAGAACGCGAATTCCTCGACGTGGGCGTCCGCGAGCTCGCGCCAATTCCGCGCGCCAGCTGCGCGCAGCGCAGCGGCAATCCTGGCGCTCCAGTCGGGATCGCGACCCTCGGCGCCTTCGACCTTGCAGAGTGCTGCGGTCAACGCCATCTTCGCGGCCTCGTTCGCCAGTGCAATAAAAGAGCCAAGCGGTGCAGCATTCGCGCGCACCCTGGCGCCGCCGCCCGTTGTCGCGCCGACCCCCGCTCTGCAGCGCTTCTGAACGGCGCGCCGGATGACGCGAAGAAGCAACGTGGGCGCTGCACGCGCGCGCCACAGCAACGCGCGCCCAATAACCTGTCGGGCAGGGCAGACCACGCGTGGGCTGCTTTGCACCGTATTAGCCGCTCGTGGGCCGCCGAGCTAAGACCCCTGGGTCCGCTGGCGATGGCAAGCCACTCATGTGCTGCTTTGTTGGCAATGTGGCCACTCATGGGCCGCCGCGCGAAGACCCCTGGGTCTGCGGGCAATGGCAAGCCACGCGTGGGCTGCTTTGATAAGGTTGGCCACTCAGGAGCCGCCGAGCAAATGGCACCCGGGTCTGTCTGAAATCGCAAACCACGCATGGGCTGCACAGTGAACGATTGGCCACGCATGGGCCGCCAAGCAAGGACCCCCGGGCCAGCTGGCAAAAACAAGCCACGTTTGGGCTGCACTGCAGACGATGGACGCGGCGTCGCATGGGCGGCGTGCGCGCCACGAGCCCCGCGTGGCCCCCTCCCCAGAGAAGCGAACCCACGGCGCGCACAGCCGCGCGCACGGACGGGCCCCACGATGCCGCCCCAACGCCACCCGACCACGATGCGGTGGCCCAGCGCGGCGGGGCACGTGCCCGCCAGGTCCCACAGCCTTGGCCAACAGGCCAGCGGCCGCACATGGGCGGACCGCGGACAAGAGAGCGCAAGGAAGCAGAAGCGGCAGCCGCACAGGCAGAGCAGCACCAGCATCCCTGCCCCACCCACGGCCCCGCACCCCGACCCTCCCCCCGCCAAAAGGACGAGGAGAGGGCAGGGGAGCGGGGCAGACGCAGGGGCAGCATTCATACCAACCCACAGAAACTGCGACAGTGCGAGCACTGTCCCCGAATTTGTGGGCTCATTTCTCCCTCCTTCTCCTCCCTCTCTCCCCCCCGCCCTCTCGTCCTCTCTGTCTCCCCCTCATCTCTCTTCCGCCTCCACCTTCTGCTCCGCCTCCTCCGGCCCGCTGCGCCATTTCATTGATGGAGGCGTCCCGCCTACGTGACGCCGTACCAGCTCAAAGTTACAGCCAACCAGGCCACGTGTATAAGTCGTGTCTCCCGCCGCTTGTGCCCTTTTCACGGACGGCCCCCTGTGCAATGTATAAATGGTCCCAAGACCCTCCCCCCCCCTTCCGCCCCTGCGGGCCCTATCCTCCTCCTCCTCATCCTCCTCCTCCTCCTCCTCCTCCTCCTCTTTCTCCTCCTCCGCCCTCCTCGCAGTCCGCTGCATCCTATGCATCCGCCTCCTCACCTCATCCTCCCCATTTCATTTGTCGATTTTCTTTTTCCTCCTGCCTCCTGCCTCCTGCCTCCTGCCGCTTCCTCCTCCTTCTCCTCCTCCTCCTCCTGCCTCTTCCTCCTTCTCCTCCTCCTCTTCGTCCTCCTCCTCCCCCCCTTCCGCTCCTCCACCTCTGCGACCGGCAGGCTGCACCTGCGCTCCCCCGAGCCGACCCTTTCTCTGAATGCCGCACTGGTCTGTGAGGGGGGGCCCGTCCTCATCCACGCCCGCCTTCTCCCCATCATTCCCCTCCTCCTCCTCCTTCTTCTCCTGCGCATCCTCCCTGTCCGTTTTCGTCCTCGTCGCCCTCCTCCTCCTCCTCCTCCTCCTCCTCCTCCTCCTCCTCCTCCTCCTCCTCCTGCTCTTCACTCGCATTCTCCTCCTCCTCCTCCTCATCCTCCTCTTCCCTTCCTCCCTCCCTCCTTCCATCCCTCCCTCCACCTTCTCGTCTTCTTTTCCGTTTCCCCTTTCCTCCTCCGCTTCATCTTCCTCCTCTCCATTTCCCCTTGCCTTTGCCACGACCCTGCTCCGAATCTTTCCTGCCCCCCAGGAGCCAATCTCTAATCTAGCCACAACATCCGTACACATAGAAACCGCACGTTTGTCTCGCACTGTGTGGCGACAAACACCACTTCCTGGCCTCGGTTACTGGTGCCCCTTGCGAGAATTCGAAACGAAGGAAGGAAGGAAGACAAATACGGGAAAGAAATAAAACCCACATCACTGATGCTGCAATACTCTTCTGTACCAGGTCCCCTCCCGTAAACCAATATACCTATGTGGCACCCAGCACTCAAGCTGGAACAGCGCGGTCCAATGGCCTTGGCAAACATTTGGAAAGCTGGAAGGGTGATGAAGTCATGGCCGCGCCAGAAGCTTGCGACCTGAAGAGGCTAATGTATTCAGAAGCACATAGCACTGCCACAGCAGGTGGCAAGACTGGAATGATGAGAGCCCAATCACCGTGCATCTGCATTTGTCGGGGATGGTGGGCATGGGATCGAAATTTCCGCTGTGCGCTGGCCCACCGTCTTGGCACACACCATACACCTTTCTGGACACCAACCGTCACTTCGCAGTGGCTGTATACACGAATGGTGGGGTTGTCGACAGATTGCCTGTGATTTGTTGCCACGTGCACTGGCTCAACTGGCTCACTCTGCGCGCCCACGGGGGTGTCGCATCTGGCGCGCTTGGCGCACGTGGCGTGCCTGGGCACGCTTAGACATCTGGCTTACCAGGTGCGCGTGGCACATCTCGCACTGGCACGCGTAGCCACAAAACAACCCCAGGACAACGCAGGGACGGGGGGGGGCGGGCGCGGAGGAGGGGGGGAGCAAACTGCACCAGCTGCGCCGAACGATGGTAACATATCGCCCAGCTTCGCCTCGACCGCACAAACGAATTGAACCGAACCTGAAATCCGAATTCCCAGTGGGGATCAGTCCGTCTCACTTCGAGCTCACCCAAAATCTCCAATGTTTGATACTGCTACCGACGCCTGCCACTGGACCGCATATGCCCCCCGCATACGCCCACCAAAGTAGCAAAGGCTGCTACCGACGCCTGCCACAATACCTTTCGCGGAGTCGACCTGACCGCATACACCTTGGTGGCCTTCGGCACATGTCATCCCATTCAATACAAGAAACGCTGCTGAGTCGCGCAATTACTATTAGAACATTGATTTGCCCTGCTGACCTCGTTCGATAGCCCTCCAATCGCATTACCGTTCGTGGACGAGTCTGAGGAGGCTGCGCGCAACAAGGTGTCACGCTTCGAAGTGTATTATGTGGACCTTGGGCATCGTTTTCATTCTGCTTCGCGCTCCTTCGACCCGCAGAGCTTCATGCTTCATGATCATCATGCTTCGCCCCCATGCTCATTCGGCCCCTCCTGACCTGGAATAGTCCACTCCGTGTTCACTCCAGCGATCAACCTCCTTCTCCTCCTGTTCCTCCTCCTCCTCCTTCTCCTCCTCCTCCTGCCTCGTCGTGCGACATTCCTCCGCCTGTCTCCTCCCTCCCCATGCAAGAGAATCGTCAGCCTTCGCGCCAGCAGCTGCGGCGGCGGCCGCTGCCGGCTTCGCCGCTGCAGTGGCCGCTGCATCAGAGGCACCTGCAGCTGCGTTGGCCCCATTGGGCGCCGTGGCACCGGCACTTGCGTTGGCAGGCGCTTTGTTGGCGCTGTTGATAACCTCTGGTTCCAGGGGCAGGGCTGAAAGCTGGAGAATGACACTACGAATAACTCAAAGGTAGACATGCCAACATCGAGGCGGAGGGGTTAAGAAAGGATGGAGGCAAAGAGAAGAAAAGGGGGGAGCAGGAGGACGATGGACGACGTCCTCCTCCCACTCCTCCTTCTCTTCCTCCACCTAGTCCTGGGGGCTTTAATGGGCATGTGTTGCTTAGGCTGCGTGACGGCTCTCCTGGGACCGGGATGGGCCGTCTTAGATGCCTTTTGGACCACTTCGGGAATACATCGGACCATCATGGGCGACTTGGCACTCTTCTGGGTCTCTAAAGCCTCTCGTAGCGGTGGGCTCTTGGAACTGTCGCGGGGGCCTGTCTGCGCACACTCGGACTGTCCTGGAGCTCTCTTGGGAAATTCTCAGCCGTCAAAGGAGGGGGATCTGGGGCTGCTTGTTTCGGCGCCTGTCAGCCTGAAACAACCTCCCTCAAGAGGCCTCCAAGACGCCACAAGAGGGCACGAAGAACATCCCCGAGAGGGCCTCCAAACAACAAAAAACATGGATGCCCAAAGCCGTGCTTGCGCCCAACGGCTCCTATTCCCCAAACACTGCTTGCCCCAAGAGTTGCCACTTGGGCCTGCACGTGTTGGTTGGATGGGTGTGGCGAGGGTTCGCCTGGTGGGCGACCGTGGCCGCCCCGTGCGCCGTGCGCTGGCTGGGCGTGGCGAAGTCTCTGGCTGGGTGGGGCGAGGCTCTGCCGGGTGGGCGGCCGTGGCCGCCGCGTGGGCGCCCCGTGCGCTGGCTGGGCGTGTCGAGGGTTCGTCTGGTGGGCGGCCGTGGGCGCCTCGTGGGCGCCCCGTGTGCCGGCTGCGTGCGTCGAGTTTTCGCTCGGGGGGCGGCGCCTCGCACAGCTTGCGCCACGTGGCTTGCACCGCACGCCTCACACCACAGATGCTGCACCACACGGATTGCGCCCCGAAGGCTACACCACAGACTTGGCTCAGACCACATAGCTTGCGCCACACAGCTTTCGCCAGGTAACTCGCACCGCATAGTTTGTACCATGGGTTGTACCACACATGTTGCTACACAGAGCCCGCACCACGCAATGAAGAGTGTACCACATAGATTGTACCACATAGTCAGGATGTGGCGCGCCTCCCTTATTCTGACAAGCCCCCCCTGACACGCCCCCCCATGACAGTCCCCCAGGGGGGTCTACAAGCCCCCGGGGGGTCCATACTGACAAGCTCCCGGCAGGGGCCACTGACAAACCCCCGCGGGTCCACAAGCCCCCGCGAGTCCTACTGACAAGCCCCTGACAAACCCCCGTGGAGTCCACTGAAAAGCCCCCAGGGGTCCACTGAGAAGCCCCCGCGGGCCCGCGGGTCCTGCTGACAAGCCCCCAGGGGTCCTACTGACAAGCCCCCAGGTGTCCTATCGACAAGGCCACGGGAAACCTACTGACGAGCCCCGCGGGTCCACTGTTTGTCCTACTGGCAAGCACCCACGGGGCCACTGACAAGCCCCCAAGCACCACGAGCCTTATTCAAGGACCCGCTCGGGCTTGTGAGCAGGACAAACAATGGACCCCCAAGGCTTGTCAGTAGGACCCCCGTGGGCTTGTCAATAGGACGCCAGGGGGCTTGTCAGTGTATTCCCCGGGGGTTGTCAGTAGGACCCGCGGGGGCTTGTCAGTGGACCCGCGGCAGTAGACGCCGGGGGGACTTGTCAGTAGCCCTCGGGGGGGTGGGCTTCGGATGATTCGCCAAAGGTATCTTGCGCCACTCCCAGCATATAATCCCACACAGCCACGTTTCAAGCCCGCGGGCGACTTCTGCGCTGCCTGGCGCTTCCGGGTTCCGGGAGACAGCCCGTGGGCGTCCGCGGGGGTCTTGTAGGCGCCTCGTGGGCACAACGTGCGCTGGCTGACGCTTCCGAATTGTCGCCTAGTCGCCGCCGGCTTGCGTGGTTCCGATATTTGGACGCCCGAAATGGGTTCGGGAGCATGGGTGCAGTTCCCAACAGCTTATGTTGTCCAAAACCACTAACGGTCGCTGTCGGGCAGGCGGCCTCCTGTCTCACATCCACACCGCCCTCGGCAACACCGACAGCGGGTCCGGTTCGAAATGAATTAGAAACTGCTGTTGGTGTCTTTACCCATTCTTTCCGTACCCGTTTCGGTCGTCCCATCAGTAGTCTCCACCCCCCTGACCCCTTTTGCTGTGCCCCCTGCTGCCAGCCATGCTTCCATAGTCCCCCCTTTGCCCGCCGCACTGGATGGCTAAATTTTCGGTTCCAACAACCAAAGAGGGCCCAAAGGCAGTCCAAGAGGGCCCAGGGACAGCCCAAGGGGCTCCCAAGAATTACGCCCCAAAAGGGCTCCAAGAACCCCCAAGAGGCGCACATCGGCCCAATCCTTGAACTCGACTTTAAAATATATCAACAGCGCGCAGGAACGTCCAAGAGGCCCAAAGACAGCCTTGAGACGGCTCTAGAAGTCCCCAAGACGGCCCAAGAATACCTCCAGATGGCTCCAAAGCTAGCACTGATACACGAGGGAGCGCCTTTCACGGGCGCTTGCCTTGGGACGGGCGCTTGCCTTGGGAAGCATTCGGCGGCGCGTTGGAACCGGGCGGGGGGGGGGACCCGAACATTCGGCGCCGTCGACAAGAACCAGGGGGACTCTCCCCTCCCCGCCCTCTCCGAAGCCACCCTCCCAACTCCCCTCCAGGGGAGGGGGGGGGGGTTCGAACCCCCCGCCCCCCCCGGCGCTGGCCCCGGCGCGCCTGCGCCAGCGGCGGCGGCGGCGGCGGCGGCTGGCAGCGCCGACGCCCGCGCCCACACCCACGCCCACACCCACAACCACGCCCACGCCAAAAACCCACGCCCACGCCCACGCCCGCGCCCACAACCACGCCAACGCTCACAAGCACGCCCGCGCCCACACCCGCGCCCACGCCCACACCCACACGCCGACTCCCACGCCCACGCCCGCGCCCACGCCCACGCCCGCGCCCACAACCACGCCCAACCCCACGCCGACGCCCACTCCCACGCCCGTGCCAGTGCCCACGCCCACGCCGGCGCTCACACGCACGCCAACGCACAGGCCCGCACCCACGCCCACGCCCGCGCCCACGCCCACGCCCACGCCCACGCCCGCGCCCACGCCCACGCCCGCGCCGGCGCTCACACGCACACCCACGCACACACCCGCGTCGATGCCCACGCACACACTCACGACCTCGCCGACGCCCACGCCCACGCCCGCGCCCACGCCCATGCCCAAGCCCACGCCCACGCCCACGCCCGCACCCAGGCCCAGGCCCAGGCCCAGGCTCAGGCCCAAGCCCACATCCACACCCACGCCCAAACCCACGCCCACACCCACACCCACGCCCAAACCCACGCCCACGCCCACACCCACGCCCACGCCCAGGCCCACGCCCGCGCCCACGCCCATGCTCACGCCACCGCTCACACGCACGCCCCACGCCCACGCCCACGCCCGCGCCCGTGCCCACGCCACCGCTCATACGCACGCCCATGCACGCCAACGCCCACGCCCGCGCCCACGCCCACGACCTGCCCACGACCACGCCCGCCCACGCCCCCGCACCCGCCCACGCCCACGCCCACACCCGCGCCCACGCCCACGCACACACCCACGCCCACGCCCACGCACACCCGCGCCGGCGCTGGCTCAGGCCCGGGGCGGGGGGGTTCGGGTGGGAGGGCGGTTCTGGATCCCCCCCCTTCAAACGCCCACAAATTGCACTCATTCCGAACTCTGCTCTCCAAGAAGAACCCGGAGAGCAGCCCGCAGGACGCCCCATGAGACCCCCAAGAGGTCCAAAAGAGACTCCAAGAGGCCCCCAAACAGCACCAAAACTGCCTCAAAGAGGCGTCCGAGAGGCTTCCCACAACAGGCACCCAAGAGGCTTCTGACCTACAACCCCGACACGGTGGCGGGATGGGCCAAAGGCCACTGGAGAACCCCGAGCATGCCTCCAAGAGGCCCCACATCATTGAATGACGGCCTCAACGAAGCCTCCTCATCCTCCTCTTCCTCCCCCTCACTCTTCCCCGTTACTGTTCTCATGACATTGTCTCGGCATCCCTCACACCCTGTCTTTCGCCTTGGCCTCCTGAAATAATCATCTCATCCCACGGGCACGCCATAGCTACCCCACAAGAAGATGGCTACCCTGAACTAATATTCCTGTCGTGTTCCTCTTCTTCATTGTGCCTATACTTTCATGTGTCTTCTCTCGACAATCCAACCCCACTTCTACTGTTTACTAGCCGGGCCCGCAGTGCGAAGGATCACAAACATCGGAGAGAGTCGGTCAGCGTCCAGGCCGCTCAAGATTGTCCCAACATTCCCATGAGATCGCCACCAAACATATTCGCGAAGGCCTAGGAACAATGGAACAATGCGCCCAATGGGAGCAAAACGGGCTGAACATAAGACTACACATCACGTCGCCTGCTCCGTGAAACCCCAACCTGTCTGGACATGCTGCCGCGAAGCGCTGTGGATGTGCTTGGGCAAACGGTAATGGGCGCCTTGACGGAACGCGAGTGGGACACATGCGAAACACGTGGCAATGCCCAAGGCTTTGTTGCACATCTGAACCAACCATGGAAAATGTGGTGTCCAGGCGCTGCTCGCGATGCGACGTGCAGTCTGCCCCAACCCCGAACCTCCTTATTGGCCATTGGTTGGTGCATTAGGTATCGCATCGCGTCTTATGGAGTCTGCTCTCGAAGGCATACGTGGCCGAATGCGAGCAAAGTATCAAGGTATATATCCATTGCTATGTGTTCACCAATCCGATGTGGGCAACGGGGAAGGGCCTCCCACATCTCGCTGATCTTTTTCTCGTCCCATATCTTGACAGAATTCTTGACGAAATTCCCGAAGGGTTTCTGTTTCCTGGTGTGCGGCGCAATCGTCTGCCAGAGCCCAGAACGGGACAAACAAACGCAAACGATGCGGAAACGCAGGCACAAAGAAGCAGAGATGCGGGAACTAAGATGAGCCAGAACTGGCCATAACAGAGAAGGGGCAGGGGAACGAGAACAGAAATGGCCGCGGCAAGACGGCTCACACACAACTCGTTATAGTGTAGGGAGAGACAGCAGGAGTGGTGCGACAGAGTAGGCATAACGAGAGAACGCAATGGCAACTGGTCAGTGGAAAGCAACAAGCGAAATTGAAGAGGGGCTGCATTTTGAAGAACACACACGCTTCCTTTCCAGAGTCGTGAAGGGCTCTTGCACTTTCAGAATCAGTGCTGACGGAGCTAGGACGCTAGATGCCCCCTGAACGGCTGACATAAGTCGGATGTCTGCAAGTCAACCTCGTACGCACATCGCTAGAAACACACACCCCTGACCCGCCCCCATGCAGTGAAGGCGATGCGCTGAACAAGGCGAGTCCGCTATCCTTGGGATGTTGTTGAAGCCCAGAAGCTTCTGTAACAACCCTTTGGTCTGTGGGGAGATGCCAGACGCCGGATCCGCAATCTTTTTCTCGATGTTGTCAATCCAAGCGTCCTGACACTTGTCCCCAGGTCGATGCAACGTCGTCTATCCGCCTCTTTGCTCCCTCTCCAGACGCATGTGCCTGGATACACGTGCAAACTTCCATACACGATTCACACCGCTGCGACAAAAAAACACTGAACAACTTTCCGCAACTGCTACGACGGAGGATATCGACGGCGAGCCAGGAGGGAAGTGAGAAAGGGGCGGGCCTTCTCAGACCGGAAAGGAAATCCTCGGGCCTTCTTGAACAAGCCATACCCGAAGACACAAAAAACTTCTCGGAAGGCTCGGAGGTTTCTGAGAAGCCTCGTCGCCGTCTGCGAAGGCCTTGACCTTCTCACTTCCCCCCCTGGCGCGTCGCCAGGGATCACGACGGGGGGGTCACGTTGGCGTTCCAGGGCGGGGAAAGCGGAATCAGGATGGGTGTCGGGATGTAGGGCCAGGGGTAGAAGGATAGAGGCAGAGGGACAATGATGTTGACGGCAATGGGGGCACCGGGAAGCAAAGGCAAGCCACGGGAGGCCACGGGAAGCAGCGGGAGATAACGGGAGGCAGCGGGAAGCAACGCGCTGACAACGGGAGACAGCGGGAGGCAGCGGAAAGCAACGGGAAACAACCTCGCCCAGCCGATTCCCGATCTGGCAACGCACATATTAGTCTCCTAGAAAAGGGAAAAACCCTTGCGGCCGATCTACTTATGGGAACGGCGAAGGCTGGCCTGCAGTCCCTGGAGGCGGCGAAAGACGACGACGACGACGGCTGCGGCGGCGGGGAACTGCGGGTTCCTTATTGGTGGGGTGTGTGCTGCGTGGGCGTCTTGCAGTCCCAGGGGGTGGGGGGGGTGACGACTGGCGACGACGACGATGACGACCACGACGGCTGCGAACTGCGGATGGCATATGGAGGGGGGGATGCTGCTTGGGCGTCTCCCAGTTCTGGGGCACGGCGATGACGACGACGGCGAACTGCGGATGGCATGTGGGTGGATGTTTTGTGTAGGGGACTTGCAGTGTCCCCGGGGACGACGACGGACGGCGAAATGCGAATGGTTTATGGGGGGTCTGCTGCGCAGGCGTCGTGCAACCCTGGGGAACGACGACGACGACGACGATGGCCCGAGGGCTGACAATTCGATGTGGAGTCCCGCCTCCCTCTTCCTGCCTCCCCCGAAACTACACCTGCAATGCGGGCCTGCTCCTGCTAATTAAGACGGCCCCAAGATTGTTATTCGCAACAATACGAAATGGCCCCCAGGACAGGGGGGGAGCCACAATTTACATCGTACACTTTGGCGTAGAACGCCACCCAGAAAGTCATACTGGCCAATCAGGCCCTGCGGACCCCATAAAGGCCCACGTATTGCTCCATAAATGGGTATGTTTACGGGCAACTATCCGCCGACCCCTGCCCAATTTTCGGGTCGTGAGCCGGCTCCCTCCCGCACCCTCTCCCCAAGGAGCCCACCCCGACCAACTTGGAATCAAGGTGCCCCCAGTGACGACCCCCGACGGACTCACTTGACCCAAAGAGGCTCCACGAGGGGACCTCAACAAGGCTTCCAGAACATCAAAAACATTATGGTCGTCGTCCTCCTCCTCCTTCTCCTTCTGCTTTCTCTCACCGTCGTCATCGTCCATTTCATCATCTTCTCCTTTCTCCTTCATTCTCAGGGGTCAGCAGAATGGCGTAAGCCTCTGAAGTGCATCTTTTTGGCAAAACGAAAAAACATTATGACTTCTATGTTCCCACATGTCCTACGCTTTGCCTTCAACAATTTCGACGAAACCTTCGCGACTGCCCCCGGAGCACCAAAGATTGCCCAGATCGCCGTGGATGGCACAACGAGGCCCCAAGATGGCACCAATATGTTCTGAAGAGGCCACCAAGAAGGGCCCCAGAGGCCCACAGATAGCCCAGATACCGCCCAAGGTGGCCCCACAAGCTTCGCTTTGCGCCCGAGAGGCCGCAAGCAAAGATGGCCCAATACCGCGGGTTCGTGTCGTGTCGACTCCAACGTTGGTTGCTGACACCGCGGGGATCGTTCAACCTTGAACGATCAGCCGTGTCCGAAACGTCAGATCTTTCAACATCGACCGATTCTGGGTCGCCAGAGGCGTTCAACGCTGAACACCGCCGCAGGGTCGCCGCCGGTCGACACGACGCGAACCCGCCGCAGGGCTGCACCAAATGCAGCCACAATGGTGCAGCCTGATTGGGCCTGCGGTAAAAGACGTACCACCTCAGGCAAGCACGTGGCCGGGTACGTGTGCGCGAGGAGCGTGCGTGCGCTCGAGCTCTTCGGCCACACCTGCCTGGATGCGGTCGGTGATGGAGCTGGGAGCGCATGCCAAGGCGAGAGCCAGCACGCAGAAGAACCTCTAACACATACCCGCACACACTAACCCAAGGGGCCTGCTGCGCCCGCTCTAACCAAGCAGCTTGAGCTCCGCTGCCTCATGTAATGTTGCAGTGCTCCTTGGGAGCATGACGGAGCATTGCTGGTGAAATCTGCCCGCAGGATTCCTCAACCTGCCCCTGCTCATAGGAACCAAGAGGAATCAACAACAACCGATGGGCTGCGAAGACCGCCCGTCGCCCTTGCAAGGACGACCCTGGCGCTCGACGACCCCGACCGTCTTCGAATTCCGAGCGCCGCTGGGGTGTCCAGGTCGGCCATGGGTGGGGCGGGCAGGGCCCGAAGCTTGCCTCGGCAATCCCAACCTCAGAAAGGCCAACAGCCCAGACTTTCTCGCGACGCCGGATGAAAAGAAAACATGCGTAAGCATGAACATTTGGGAGGTCCGCGCGGCACCCCCCTGCAGGGCACGCGAAGCGCGCCGAGGGGGCTCAACACCCCTCCACGAAATCCGAGCGGAGATCCGAACTAGATTTGTATACCGTTGATTCTTCTTCGATGGATGCACGGGCTGGCACCCTCGCCGGGCCGAATGCAGTGTGGAGACCACGTACCGTTTGGTTTGAGCCTGGCGCCGAACCCCCGCCCCGCCGGCGCCGAGCCCCCGCCCTTGGGTGTGCGAGATGTGGCGGGCAAGCGCAAGGTGGCTGCCCCTACGAGCACGCAGCTGCTCGGATTATTTCTGCAACTCCACGCGGACTATCCTGCTTGACTTGGCCTTTTTTGTTGTCCTCCTTGGCCTCGTACAACTTACCCTGGTACTTCTGGGCCTCAGGCAGTCGGTCGCCATAGGGAATCTACCCTGCAAGGGCGCCGGTGCGCCTTCCCCGTGCACCCGACCAGCAAATGGAGAGGTGAACGGTGGGGTTCGGGCACGCGAGCGGAAACAAGCCTCTAGAATACATAGAAGGCCATGCTTCAAGTTCGCCTGCCTTGGGAAACTGCCAGAAAAGGGATCTGCTAATCCAGAATTCCCCCCTGGACAAAAAACCAAGGTCCTCCTGCTACCACACCCTACCCCTCCCTCATTTCAGGGGGGATGGAATAGGGGTTCGACCCTCCCACCCCAACAGCGACGACGACGACAACGACGACGACGACGGCGACAACGGCATCGACGGGCGAGATCAGTCGGGCGGGTTGGCGCGGCAATACATGTAACGCTTTCTCGTTGATAGGTCAAGGTTTGGAAAAAAAAGGAAGAAACATCACCGAGGACGGCGGCGAATAAGACGACGACGACGACGGGAAGGGCGTTAGCCTGGCGGGCCATTAAATGGAAACCAGATCCTCACTAGTTCATATGATATTGTTGGGGAAAGAAACGTACAAATACCGACGGCGGCGACGAGGACGACAAACAGCGATAGCACGATCGTGGAATCGACGGGTGCAAGAGACCCCTCACTCTCTGAAAAGGAAAAGTTGAAGGAAAGGAACAGAAGGGGGGAAGGGGGGGGGTACGGCGTCGTCGACATTCTTGCCGTCGTTCCCGCGGTCGTCAGCGCCTGGCGCTCCACCCCCCCCAGCCTGACAAAGGGGGGTGTCGTACTCCCCCCCTGCACTGGGAAAGGAGGGGAGAGGGGGTTGTCACCCCCCCCCACCCCCCCTGCCCTGGGTGCTGGCCCCCCCCCTGCCCAAACGCATGTGAATAACTATCTTTCCACGAGGAATTCTGCCTGTCACCAAAGAGACCGCATGCCGTATAACTCGAGCATAGCTTCCGTATCATGGTCGTTGTCGCCCTTGTTACCATAAACCCTTGTGCTAACCGTCAACTCTCGTTCCATCTTTCCCGGCCATCGTCCTGATGCACACTACCCGATTCTGATCCCCGCATTCCTTCCCCTTTGTGATTTTCCTAGAATGGCAAAACTCTTCCCAACCAACATTCCGACCTTTCTCCCGATATTCATTCGAAAGTCAGTACGGGCCTCAGATACGCAACTGGTGTGGGACTCCCATTCGTTCCAAGCAAAGACCTGTGCGGGGTGATCATGGGAGGACAAAGGCACATCGCAATGGAAATTCAACACATGTTGACAGCGGCAGACTTTAGAGCGATGCGTGTACATAGATCGCCCCCAAGTCCCACAACGACTTGCCCATCCCACAAGTCAGCCAGCCCTGCGTGGATTTCCCCGTACAGGAGGCCTTCACGTGGGGGCAGCCTAGCACGACCCCGCCTGCAAGACAACCTCCCCACGCTTGCACGAGAGCCTTGATATAAAGATGTCCCTTTGCCGGCCCATGCCCAAGCCAAGCCCTATCATCCTTCTTCCTTTCGAGACCGATGAAGCTCCACAACGCTTCCCCAGGACTCCATTGAACGGAGGAACAACAAAAGCCTCGCTCGTCCTTGCACTGCCTGCCCTCCACTGCCTCCACTGCTCCCTCCGAAAAAAAAACATCCCTCTGAACACTGGTTGCACGTAGTATGGCTATCCCTTTAGCTTTGTTATTTGAACGAGCATAATATTCGCTCAGGACACATCGTTCTTGCAACACTGAAACTGCAACCGAATTGACTGTGTATTCGTCCGTTGTCTGTATTTGGACTGTGCGACTCGTGCCGGCATCCGCGGGCAAGTCCGACCACAAGCCAATTCAAATCAGTCAGTCAACGTCTTTGAGGGTGCAGCGACATGGCAGACAGCGGGAAATGAACTCGATGCGGGGCTGTCAACCCCAGCTGGGCGAAGACGACGAACCCTCCCAGCCTCATGAATCATTGTCAGCTGGACTCGCAACAGAGCGTAACAACCTGACAGATATCAACGGAATTATCGTAGGCGCAGCTGCGAAAAACGGCTTGACGCCGCCAATGAATGTTCGGGAACACGCTGCTGGCATCAGAGCAAGAGGAGCAAGATCCGGAGAAACGGAGGTTGCTATCCAAAACGCTGTGGAGGGCGCTCCGCCAGGAATGACGAGAGAGGCACTAAGGGGAACTCTGCGAGATCGCTGACCGTGGTCAGTAGCTGACGGCCTCGCAAAGCCTCAAACGTCGGCATCGCGGAATCGACAAAATTGGCGCTGTCACAAATTTACGCGTGACGGAGGTGGCGGACAAGCAGGGCCTGGTGGAGGTTTTTTGCGCACTTGCACGAGGATGCGAAGCAGACCAACGAAGAAAAAGATGTTTCACATCTGGTGCCTGAGGTGTCAATATCTGAAGTGCGCTCCGCACTCGCACGCATGACACATGGGAGGGCCGGCACTACAGACGACGGCCTGGTTTCAGAGATGCTCAGAACAGAAAATCATAAATTACAACGCGCACTTGCTGAATAGTTCAGAGCCGTTGCAAGGGGCAGAGTGGACCCGCCAGAAGAGTGGAAACAAACTTGTTGATCAACCATGCTGAAGAATGGTTGCCGGAAAGAGTTCAAGAATTGACGGCTGCATTCTATTATCCCAGTGTTGGTGGAGTTGTTCAGTATTGTTTTGAATGTGGGGATGAAAGAAACAGTGGAGGCCGGATTCGCTGACGAACAGTACGGCTTTCGCAGTGGAAAGCGCTGCGAAGACGCAGTGCATGTCCTCCGAACGGTGGAGAAATCGGCCGAGTGGGAGGAGGAGTTGTGGGCAGCCACGCTGGACGTGGAGAAGGCGATCGATAAGGTCTACCACGGGACATTATTCGACACGCTGCTTGACTCATGTGTGGAAGCCAGCAGCGTCAGCGTCCTCAGGAAGATATGCCGAAGCATGACTGCGTACGTCCACTTGTCGCCGGGTGTGGAGAGCAGGCGTTTCGAGACTACAGCGCGGAATTGGGCAAGGACATCCATTTTCCCCGGTCTTATTCCACCCCCTGGTGACCAAGGTTCTAGAAGAATCCGCCGATCCTGTCGGCGTGTGGAAGAGGCTGTTCCGTTTGACTCGTCCTCGTCGATGTCGTCGACGTCGTCGCCGCTCCCTCTCGTTCCCTGGGCCCTCCTCCCCCTCCTCCTGGTGACCAAGGTCCTAGAAGAATATATTTCGGACTGGCAGCGCCGCAAGCACGGCACGCTGGTGAGACAGGCGGTGACAGGCCGAACATTGACACGTGTGGCTTTCGCGGACGACACGACGCTGCCTGCAAGAGGCAGGGTGCCCCTCAGACGAATGGTTCTGATGCTTCAAGACGCGCTGAGAGAATGCGGGCTGCAGCTGCATCCTACGAAAAGCAAGGCGCACACAAATCGCGCATATTGGACCCGGCGCGGCCGTGTCGAGATGACCGAAGGCTCTCGCTGGAGATCTTGCTGGATGGAGACAGCTTGGAAATCCTTGGCACGATACTCCCTCTGAAGGACGTCACGCCCGTGATCCAGCACAGAGTCGCCATGGAATGGCGGAATCTCTGGGCAGTAAAACATAATGAAACGTGCTCTCCTCAATCAGGAAGTGTCGAGACAGAAACACTCCCGTCAAGTCGATTCATCAGTCGGCAGTTGCGTGCTATACTGAGCGCACGCGTGGACGCCGCGGGTGGAAGAATTGAGATTCCTCAAATCAGCCCAGAAAAAATATGGTTTGGCGGATCTGCGGGTACCAGCCAGCCCCAGTAGAGGTATGGCATCAAAGGTCCAGAGAGCCACGTGCAGGGCGTGGACAAACGTTCACGCCGCCAGGATGAGACAGAGGATCCAGGCACATGCTGCAAGGAAGTGGTCGTGGGCACGGCATGTGATGCGGATAAGTCCATTCAGCTGGGTGTGGCGCGTGACCACGTAGCGGGACGCCGAGTGGTCAGCAGCCTGCAGGCAGTCCAATTCCGCGCGGATTATGCGGCCTTCCAAGCGTCAGTGGATGAAATGGGAATACCCTCTGTGCCGTTTCGCCCGGGACCAAAACATGGGCAACTGGATGGATCTCGCCCGTGACGGGGACGAGTGCCTCAGCCAGGCTCCGCCATACACGAACTGCTTCGTCGGGGACGTACTGACCTGGGTCAATCCAAACCTGAGTCAATCGGGCCTTGCAGGATCCTGCAAGAGCCTGCAAAATCTTGCACCCAAGGTCAAGGCACTCCTGGCTCAGCAGAATCCGGCAAAACCCACCGCTCCGACTGACCCCCGTTTGCAATGACCCCCGTCTCTTGAGCCCCGAGTTCGCTTGAGACGGCTTGCGCCGAGTTCTCGCTTGCGCGCCCATGTCGGGCCTCTCTGGAGCTGCGCATCTTGCGCTCTTGCATTCTTGCCGATCCTTCTCATCGGGCCTTTGTGCGTCCCCCAAGCACAATCTGGGCACACGAAAACTTGCGCTCCAGCACGCTCAATGCCACGTCCATGGGCCTGGTACGGCCCCGCCACATGATCCCTCAGCCTCTCCCGCGCTCCGCTCCCCAGCATCTGTCAAGACGGACAAACAGAAATCGGCACGTTGCGCGGGACAGCCAACCGCTTAAACGAATCACCTAGCTCATGACGTCGTCGCCGCGGTCAACGCTACGATCAGAAGCGATGAACGCCACGCTCTCAGTCATCACGGCTGTCGCTGACCATCCTACATATCTATTCGTCAACGCGGCGCTCATACAATCGGACCTTCGAGCAGTCGATGCAGCTCACATACCCGCTGCCGCACACCTGCAGATGTCTAGCCAACTTTGGCTTCTTGACGGTCTCATTGCACTTCTGGCACTCGAAATATACCATGGCAGAAATCCTGAAAGGCACGCGGCGGATCTCCACAACTGCGCGAGATCCCCGAAGGACAGACCACGTGGCCAGAGAAGACCCGGGAACACCCAAAAGCAATGCCTTCCCCATCCATAGCAGCTGCGAGGGAGTCCGCTCCCTGGAACATACGAATCGACAGACGTCCAACACGATCCAACCCTGGAGAGTTGCCTGTTCATGTGTGGGGCCCCGAGGTCCTGCTCGGGCCCCAGGGGTGGAGCTGAGGGGAAGGGAGGGGAGGAATGGGGGGGGAGAGGAGCAGGGGCGAACATGACGACACGGCGCCATACGGATTCGCCGCAGGAGCGTTGGGCTGCGATGCTGGGACGCTCTCCTGTCCTGTGGCCGCCAGCCCTTCCCCAACAGGGCCTCACTGCGGGACGGCAAGGGGGATCTGAGCGAACCTCATTGCACCTCCCGCATCCTCCTCGTCTTGATCCTCTTCCTCCTCCTTTTCCTCTTCCTCCTCCTCTTCCCCCCCCCCCTCCCCCCCCCTCTCTCTCCCCCCCCCTCCCCCCCCCCCTCTCTCCCCCCCCCCTCCCCCCCCGCCTGCCTCCACCCCTCTCTCACCTCCCCTCCTCGCCCTCCTCTGTGCTGGCCTCTGGCCAGGCTCAACAAATGTCTCGATCCGCCTCCCGAGTCGGCCTGGCCTGCTCCAACGCGCAACGGCGCCGTGCCGCCAGGCGGAGACCCCGCCGAGAGGGGGGCGAGGCTCCCGAGAGGCCCCGGTCCTGCGAGCGCTGCCCCTCTCCGTGCAGGCTTACCTCGCGGCCCCTCGCAGCTCAGCTGTCCGGGCGGGGGCGTAAGCCCAAAAAGCTGCGCGGATGCGGTGATCGCGTGAAAACCGCCCCCCCCCCCACATCAGGAACTTTAGACCAACTAGACCGGGCGCGCGGGGGCCCGCCCCTGCGGCAGCTGGCAATGGCCTCTCTTGCAGGGCGCCTGCACTTACGCACATTCGCCGCACTTGCAAAACGTTGACATGTAAAATCCATTGTTGTGTGGGCTGGGGTCGGTTTCCCCCTGTTCATGCGAGAGCGTTGTGCTGCCAAGACCTCGCTGTCGAAGCTGGTGGCGCTCTGGCATCTCACTGGGCACGAAGAAACAGACGACGCCGAATTAAGAGCGTCCTGATTCTCAGTTAGCTGCCGAAATAATACTGATAGACCCCAACTTGCCTGCACCGTGAATGAACTACACACATGGTGCATCGATCGCAGACGACACGTAACAATACCAACATCACATCGCATGCGACTCGGGCAACACGCAATCCTGACACACTCTGTTCATCGATGGTGTGATGGCCGTACGCGCACTGCACCCACGTATATAATGCAACACACAGTGGAACATACTCGGCAAGCGGCGTGAAGATCACGCGGGAGCGGAAGATCTGGAGCTGAGGCTCGTTCAGAAGAACTCCAACAAGCCGTGGCAGACACCCACACCACATGGCATGGGAACAACTTGAGGCGTCTACGAACCCAGCAATGAAGCCAGGTGTCAGTATGGCAAATATGCTGTGTTCTAGTATCTAGTATGGCAACTTGTGTTATAATGCTGTGCTGTGCATTGGAGCGACAAACCATGAATAGGCACCAACGCAACAAACGTTGAAACAAGTAGTGGCACACAGCGAACGGGAGGTCGATGAGTGCACGTAACCTCCCCCCCTCTCTTCCTATCAGACACTCCAACGTACTCCTTATCCTCCTTACCCTTCACCTCCTGCTCCTCTCCCTCCTCCTCCTCGTGGAGTCGCCGCGGCGCCCCGCGAGGCGTGTGGGAGGCGGCAGGGAACGTGGTAGACACATGTTCTACGTGTGTTTGTTGCTGGCAGCGCGGCACGCTCGAGGGCGTCTGGCAGGCAGAACACGCACTGTCCTTCATCCCTTCCTCGCATCGTCTTCCCTCCTGGAGCTGACCCGCCTCCAGCCCCCCCATGTTCCCTCCTTTTCTTAGGCAGGCTGCGAGGCACACGCACCTGAAGCGTGAGCTCCCCCCCCCCTACTCCTCCCTCCTCCTCGCCCTCCACCGCCTCCTCCTCCTCATCCTCCTTTGCCACTGCGCCAACGGGCTACTTGCTGGACTACATGAGGCCCATCTAAAATACTCTGATAAAAAAGAACTATTCGGTGTCACGGACTGCAAATACGACTGAGAATCAGTGAGCAAAAAAAAACGCATCGCCTCGGAGGTGGGCTTGGCCCACGCATAGACGAGCCATACGCAGCATTGCAAGCCCGCGCAAGTAAGGAAGCTGTTAGGGTGCCGATGGAGTCTCTGTGTAGCGAAGATCCCTGAATGACACAAGACCCTCGTGAAGGCCCAACATATCCTAAATAAGGCCCTAATGAGTTCAAGCAAGCCGCACTGAAATTTAGCTTGGTGCCAGTGGGGCCATGTCTGGACTGAATCCAACACGCTTCCCGCTCTCTCGTACCAAGAACAACCTGCAGGGTGCAATACTATTCCGTTCGTGGAGCGAGTGGGCATGCCGTGCCAGCTCCTTGCCGCCATCGCGAATGTGATTTCAATGCGCAAGCATTCGGGATAAGGCCCATCGTGCCGAAATGTTGGACTAGCGTCATTCACTTACAAAGCATGGCCCATAATACACACCAAGAAAACAATCACATGAACACGACCTCACCGTCGGACGGGCGCCCTTGTCAGCCCATTAGATTCTACAGCTGGTGTAGCAGCCAACTTTGCAAGCAGAAAGCGGAGTTCTCCAGGACGCTTCCCCCCTATACATGTTGCTTCCTCCCTCGTTGGGGGTCATGGAGACACTTCAGACCGAAACGGTGATGGTGGTAAGCCCATGGAGCGCATTCAGGCAATCAGTGCTTCTGGCCTGTCAGGGGCCTCGTCGGCGCTGGTCTTGTACCGCTCTTGAAGCCTCTCGGGAGCCTCCGGGGTGGTCTCGGAACCCTACCGGGGTGTCCTCAGGTCCGCTCGGGCCGCCTCCCCTGCGATCTTGGTCGGGGCAACCGGCTCGGGGTCCCCGACCCTGCTCCCGCCGTTGTATGCTGCGTGTGTGCTCGTCAGTAGCAAGGCCAGCCCGCAGAGCGTGACGCCAGGCCACGGTGTGGACGCGTCGCCCCCGACCACCGCGTGAACCTCCTCGTCCTCGCACTTCCCCGCCTCGGGCTCTTCCTGCTCCTCCTGCTGCTGCCCCTGTTCGTGCTCATTCTGCCCCTCCTACTGCTGTCCCTCCTCGCCTTCTTGCTATCGCTGCGCCTCCGCCTCCGCCTCGCACGAGGAAAACCAGCCACCGGCCCACGCTTCTACGAAGACGCGGGGCCGCTCAAAGCAGGCCTCGCAACAACTCGGCGTCGAACTTCTGCAGCAAGTTCTTGCGCGCACGCGAGCGCGCCCTCTCCCGAACGTTGGGTGGGCCGTGAACCAGCGAACTGATCACCAAGAGCAAGAGCAAGATGTCCCAATGATTCACTTCCAGCGCTCCCCGTTTGTAGTGGCGATGACGAAGGTGAGGGAGAGAGCAAGATAGAGGACGTGGGAGGAGAAGGACGGACGCCAGGGGGGAGGAAGGAGGGGGGGAGGATGAGGAAGAACACGAGGAGGGTTACGAGGAATGAGCACGGGGATCAGGATAACAAAGGAGGAGGACGAGGAGGAGGAGGAAGGGCGGAGGCCTGGTATTGCCACGCCTTTGGCGACCTCCAAGAGGTCCGCCGACTCCATGCAAGGTAACGATGTTTACTTAGATGTGCTCGCTCTTGCCTCCCGTTCTTGATCAATATCCTGAAGCCTCGCTATGTTCCTCATACGGCGACCCTAAAAAGCATAATCACGATGCTGCATGCTCGCAAGAGATTGGCAACTGTCTGAAAGGGAGGTGCTGGCATGTGCAGGTTGTGCATCAACGGCCTGCAACAATATTGGTATCATGGGACCGAGATGGTGGGTTTAGATCAGGTGGAAGCCGTGTCGGCGCAGACGTTCTTCTTGCAGACGGTTGGTGGCACTTGTCCGCCCAAATCTCAGGCCCTCACCCTGCTCTTTCTGCAGGACCCCACGTACAAACTTGCCCTGGGGCCAACCATAACATGGGCCAACTTGCTTTGGAAATCTACCACGTGTACTAAATTCGACCCTGGGTTGCCTCGCCTTCGCGATCTTGCTTCCGTGGTCCTGGCTGCAACCCCTTCGGAATATGATCAAGTCAAGGACCCGTTGGGAACGGCCGTTGTCCTTGCAAAGAGTTGGTTGGTCCGTCAAGTCATCATTCGCGTGGATCACCCATGAGTGGGAGGAGGTGCGTTTGACTTGCACGTCTCCTGCCAATATTGCTTGCGAACAGGGAACCGCGTGGGTGAAAATGTAACCCGAGAGAGCGGCAAGGAAATTCGGTCACCCTGGCGACACTCTGGACCTCACCGTGTATCGTCCTCTGCTATCGCGGTATGCTAACGGCATGTGTTGCGCAGTCTGTGTGTGTGGTCTAAGTGGAGACTCACGCAGCTACGCTGGCTCATGGATGATATCCTGTGCCCTCTTTGTCATGCAACCACTGGTGGTTTGCATCATCCTTTATTTTGCTGCGCTGCCACAAGCTGGATCAGACTTGAGTTTCTGCCGCCTGAGGTCCTCGAGTGGATCTGTCGAGAGGACAAGGGCATCTCCCCATGCTCGGCTTCAAATGGGTGTCTGAAAAGGTTTGCTGCCCCCCCGCCTGGTTTTGGACCTGAAGATGTTGCTGTAAGATGTGTTGGTCCTGGGCCTGGAAGCTTTTCGGGACAAGGTTTACTACTCTGATGGGTCCTGCTCCAAGGACGGTCAAAGTACATCACCATACTAGGTGGGCTTGTGTCCGTATGCAACCAAGCAGGGAGCTCTTTGCAGTGTTGTCTGGGAAACGAAGATCCAAACTGCCACAAACTAGTCCAGCCTCTGAGCACGTTGCCCGCTTAGCCTGTTGTGCCCATGCCAGCTTGACGTCAGAAATTCGAACGGATTTCAAGGGCCTGGTAGGGCTCACCTCTCGCTCGAGAGCTTTTTTCGCTGGTAGGGCTCACCTCTCGCGCGAGAGATGTTTTTGACAGAAGGGCTTATTATGCCAGCGTTGTCATGCTGGCCGCAGGCAGGGCAACCAGAATATCCAAACTGTTGGTAACTAAAAACAAAGACCACTATTATATGTTTCCGGACGATTGGTATAAGGCTCGAAGGGACCATTGGGCTGATTCTCGCACCAAGACGGCGGCGATGACCCAGGCGAGACACTCCACGGGCGAATTGGATCAGCAAAGCTTTGATGCCAAAAATCTGTCTTTCTGCTCTTTCTAACTCAAGCTCTACTGTACTGCACTGGTCCCAGCAGGCGCCGGCCAGGCCCAACCGAGGGTTGGGCAGGGGAGGCGCTGCCCCAACCAATACCTCAGGAGTTGCCGCCACCGCCCGCGCTGCCAAGGTCTGCCAAGGTCTTCGAGGTCTTGGGCACAGTTGCCTTGGGTGTTCCCCAAACCCGCCCTCTCCTGGAGGGCAACCCGTCTTCCAGAGGCCACGAGTTTCGGTGGATCCGAAACAAAAGGGCGTAAAGAAACTATCTGATTTCGATTGCTCTCGGACCTTCCTGCCCGCTCCTTCGCCTGCGTAGGTTCGAATGCAGTCATGGGTGCCCTGGTGCTGGAGACTCAGAGCTATCGGCTCTTTCTGACGGGCACCCCTGATGGGATCACCCTTTTCTGCTGAATGGTGTGCGGCTCTGTCAGCGAAGGGGGGTCAGGCGAGGAGGCCTTGCCCGTGGTTGCTGTGGTGGGCCAGCGCGGGCCAACCTCAAGATTAATCTCAGCCGCATATGAAGAGGAGGACGATGCTGCTCAGGCTTCGACGGGACGTCTTGGATCCCAGCCGCTGCGTTTCCAGTGCCCGCCGAGCGGGGTGCTGGAGGCCTGGTGGTTTCATCCTCTCCTGCCGTCTTCATTTTTCGCGCTGGGATGCGTCCGGTCTAATAAGATATGGCTCCCTTGACCCATGCGCAACGAAGCCTCCTGGGGCCCCCATCGGATGTGTTTTCGAAGCCTTTTTTGGTGCCTCATCAAGATCTCTGGGAGCTTCTTCTGGGACGCTACAAACAAGCTCCGAGGGACCTCCTGAGCCCTCCTGGGGCTCGTGGAGCGCCAACGACGCTTGCCCCTGCTGGCGTCGTCGAGACTTGGAAGGGTTTGGGACTCTTTGAGTGCCCCCTCGGGCTTCTTCGGGGGGCCGTCTTAGGTATCTCCTGGACCCGTTCTGGGGGTATGTTGGGCCCTTTGGACTCTCTTGAAGGCCAGATTGGGGCAATCTTTGGGACACCTCGGACGCCGTCAGGCATCGTGCACTCCTTCTCGCTGGAGATGGCGGTGTCGCTCCTCCTCCCTCCGACCCACCAGCTGTAGGCGTGGCGGAGGGGGCGGCGCGCCAGCCAGTGCTGGGAGACCAGGCAGCCGGGGTGCTTGCCGCGCACCTGGCGAGAGGGCCGCGGCCGGAACGTCGCGCCGCCGCAACCGACTATAATAAGATGAAACCAGGGCGAAGATCAATTTGGACGAGGGCATAGAACCTCTCTGACAGACTCTGGGGAATGCATCGGGCCCGCGGCCGTCCCAGAGCGTCCCGGAGTGCTCTGAAAGCGTCCGGGAACGCTCTGGAACGGACCGATCCTCGTCTTAACCGCTCCCGCCCAAAAGAAAGTGCCTGAGCTGGGGTCGACGCGTACGGGGCCGCGCGGCGCAGGGCGATCGAAGGACCGAGGGTCCGGGGTTTCGCGGGCGTTTTGGGGCCGCGCGTGTGGCAGTCGCCATGGGAGGGGAGGCGCCAAACTTTTGCGATTGCCCTGCCAGAGCAGAACAGCCTGGCGGGGCACGGCACGGCGGCGCCCACCGTGCGACTGGCAGGCAATCGCCTGGACCACGCAAAAACGCGAACAAAAATGACTACAACAAAAATACGGAATGGCCGGAACAAAAAGGGGAATGACAATACCAATGCGAAAGCGGGAAAAGAGAAGACGAATTCGAAAAATGGGTACGAGGAAGCACAACAGAGAAATACGAACGAGAAGAGAAACAAGAGTATTGGTCATGAGAATAAAAAGCATGGGGATTACATGAACACTCTGAACAGTAATAGTGACAAAGGAAAGCGAACACCCTCGAGTTGCCGTGTGCGAAGGTGGTTAAGGAAAGGCCGGAGACGATGCTGATGCCTTTTTTACTATACAGAAAAAACGGATCCGGGGGGCCTTGCAGGTAGTGGCCCAGCCACTCCCTAGAACTTGATGCCCCACGGTGGTCGACGGTGGATTACGCACAATCGGCCGAGCGCCTGACCCTGAATGGCCACATTTGTCGAGCAAATTGAGAATGCACTCTCGTTGGGCAGGCACGGAAATGTGGCACCCCAGCGGGCAAACGATCTGACTGTACAAAATGCCTGCAGGCAGCAGGGTGTGACATTGAGAAACACTAGCACGCCCTCTGTTCGTTTAGTACGGAGTGTTTCTCCCACGTTGCACAACGCACCGGTTATCTCTAACGGTCGCCATCGCCGCTACCCTAATGGCACAATCGACTGAAACGCGGATGATGCATGTGACCAGATGCTTGCCATCTCTGGTCGAGCCCGCAAGGGGGACGTTGCGCGCAGTGCCCGTGGCGCGACAGCGCGCGCGCATAGGGCCAGCAAACAGCCCACATCAGTCGCCCAGTCTGAATAGAAAACCAGCCAACCAACCAACCCACCAACCAAGCGTGGCCACGCGAGCAATATGAGAAGGGGCCGGCGGCAGAGGGCGAAGCCGTCGCTGGCGCGCTATGCGACAACCCACCGAATGGACTGTGAACGCGGGGGGGATGAGGAGGTGCAGGAGCACCTAAACGAACATGCGAATGAGAACGCGCAGGGGGAAGCGAGGGTGCAGGAGGCAGAAGGAGATGGAGAATGGCAATGCGGATGAGGGGGCAGTGGGGGGCGGGATGATGGGGAGGAGCAAGGAGGAGGAGCAAAAGGAACCGCGCGAGGGGGGGGGCGGGGGCGGGGGTAGAAGTGATGGACTGATGGGGAAGGAGGGGAGGCAGCAAGAGGGAGGCTTGCGAGGCTGAGTTCGCTCTCCTGTTCTAGATACCCCACGGGGTGGCGTACGTAGCGGGTACGCATGAGGAAGAATCGAAGACTCAGCTGAAGAATATGCAGTTGAATGTAATATGTTTAAACGACGTTTTTTCCACGTAGACGCGCGCACAAGTATCGATCTTTAGCCATCGCGGTTACGGATGGCAGAATGGCCAAGCAGATGACCAAAAAAACCGGCGAAATGTCAAGAACTGGCTTCCGCGCAAACTTCCAGAAATACGCACAGGAAGCAAATCAAATAACTCGGGGAAGTGTCCGGAACACGCTCCCCCGGACAGTTCCAGACATACGCCCAGGAGGATCCAAAATAATACGCAACGCAAGGGCGGACATGGTGCCGCATTCCCCGTAAACGCTCTACGCCCAAGAGGACCACCACGCTAGCGCTAACATACGAAACCACCTGTTGTGACCACTGGGCTTATGTGGTCTCGCGCAGGCATTTACCTCAGAACAGTGAAACCGATTATGCATGTCTTTGGTGGTGCGTTTACAACATCACGCTGCGCTCAATAGCGCGCGCCCCCCCTGCCTGCTCAGGGGAGGCCCGTGCCGCTCCGGGGTCGCGCTGGTGGACGCGAGGCCTCGCGCCACGGCGTCTCTTCTTCTGTTCCTAACACGGTTCCTCCGTCTCCTCCAGGTGTTCCGTCGTCGCGCCCTTCACCTTGAGATGGTTCCACATATTCTGGCTCAGATCCTGGCGAAGGCACAGGGCACTCCTCTGCTGGGCCAACAACCAACGACGATGAGCGCCGTGAAGAAAACACATCACTCATATCGCGCATATCATCACGAGCGCCCCGCCACTCAGGCCCCCGCCCGTCGTGCTTCTCATAAAACGGGCATGCGGCATGCGATGTGCAAGTCCTCGTTTCTTGTGATCGACACTCGCCGCGGCAATGGCTCGCCAAGCGGGATCGCCGCGCTCGAGCCCTGGTCGGCGCACTAGTGTCCATCCATGTATCCGTTCTATCCTGTTGTGGTACTCGTGATGTGCCGCGCATGCCGCGGGGTGGAATGTCTGTCGCGGTGGCGGATATGCGCCGCGCATCGAATTGCGCAGGTTCTTCAGACCACTGGCTGGTCCGAACTTCGCAAGCCCGTCCGCCGCCATGCCCTTCGTCTCTTGGCGTCCGACGTCGAGCTTGCCCATCGGGACTTTTTCGCAAATGCGGCGCCCAACTGCTCCGAAACATCGCGTGCGCCAGCTAGATCTGGTTGACACATGGGCAAAGGCTGCGGCGTTGTCTCAGAGTAGAATCAACACAATCAAACAACATGCCCCGCTCCTCCAACAGAACACGGGTGCCCTCCACGACTGGCCGAGTCAAAGCGGGCGCCCCCATTTCTGCGCCTGCCGCGCTCAGCGCGCCGACCGTCTGGCGCGAGGGGCGCCGCGGGAGCGGGGCACCAGCCCAAAATGCAAACGGGCCAGTCTGGGCCTTCATGCTGGATGCCGCGCAGCAAGCGTCCGACCAGGCCACCATGGAGTGTTCGCACCCTTAGATGTTCACGAATATCAGCAAGTATCTGTCGCCCCTTTTGGGACATTGGGGGACCTGGTTGGCCAGCTTTTCCGACCGCCCTATGCGCTTCGCGGGGGCGCGAGCGGGCTTGAAACATGCTACATCGGCGCGGCATTTGGTGGCAAACCCATTGAACTCGCCAGCGTGAGCTTGATGACCTCGGCAACGTTAGAGATCGAGAGTATCCTCGTTTCCGGGCGCATCCATCTGCACTGAGGTCAAAAAAAGGCTCGCGAATGCATGGCTGTGCTTCTCGGGCAGAATCGGATGTCGACGGGCTGCCATTCCCGCGGGCCACGGCCCTCACCTTGCAAACCCGTACCTTCAGGAAGAGGGGCTCCCGTTAAGACGTTCTTGTTGAAGAAATTCTCGTCGTCCTTTTTCTCTGCCGAACCTCCCAACTGCTCTCTCACTTTCCCTGTCGACGCGCGGACCTCCGCTGCTCGGACGCATTGACAAGGCAGCTGACCGCTTGGGCCCCGCCGCCAGGCCAAACGGCGAACATAAATCGGGCGTAGCCCCGAACGCATTCGAATGCCCACACTTCGTCCTCGTACTACTCGTATTCCTCCTCGTCCTCCTCCCGATCCTGATCGTCGTCGTCAATCTCCTTCTCGTACTCCTCCTCATCCTCCTCGTCTTCCTCCTGCTCCAGTTCCTCCTCGTCGCCCTCTTTCGTCTAAGACCTCGTCCTCGTTTCTCCTCCGCCTCCTCCTGTTCACCCTTGGTTTCCTGGCAAAGGCCCGTCGACTTGACACGGGCGCGAGAACAAAGCGGAACGCGTGAATTTTCTTCTGCGCCCAATTCGCACAGATAGTTGAGGGATCGGCCGTGACACCAACCACCGCTGATGCCACGCGCTAAAATCTGCAATGGTACGGATGTATATTGATGGAAGGTACCACATGTCGTGGATGCTTTGCCTGTGCGGTGCTTGCGTGATCCCCATCGTATGTCTCAAGAGTCGGCGGCAAAGGCCATTGGGCCATAGGTTGAATTGTAGGCTGCGTCCTAGGTTGCGCCCTCAGCGGCCGAGAATAAAACTGTTTCCTATCGGGTGCGCCAGGAATTGCGCCCTCGGCGGCCGAGAATGAAACCGTCTCCTATCGGTTGCGCAAAAAAAAAAAACGCCCTCGGCGGCCGGGAATAAAACCGTTTCCGATCGGTTGCGCAATAGGTTGAGCGTTGCGCCCTCGGCGGCCCAGAATAAAACTGTCTCCTATCGGTTGAGCCATGTCTTGCGCCCTCGGCGGCTGAGAAAAAATCGTCTCCGATCGGTTGTGCCATGTGTTGCGCCCTGGGCGGCCCAAAATAAAACCGTCTCTTATCGGTTGCGCCGTAGGCTGCGCCCTCGGCGGCCGAGAATAAAACCATCTCCTATCGGTTGCGCCATAGGTTGCGCCGGCGGCCGAGAATAAAACCGTTTCCTGGAGGTTGCGCCATGTGTTGCGCCCTCGGCGGCCCAGAACAAAACTGTCTCCTATCGGTTGCGCCATAGGTTGCGCCCTCGGCGGCTGAGAGAAAAAAAAAAAAAAAAAAAAAAAAAAAAAAAAAAAAAAAAAAAAAAAAAAAAAAAAAAAAAAAAAAAAAAAAAAAAAAAAAAACGCATTCTACCGGTTGCGACATTGGTTACGCCCTCGGCGGATGATAATAAAATCGTCTCCTATCGGTCGCGCCATAAAATGTGGTGCGCCCTCGGCGGCCGAGAATACAACAGTCCCCTATCGGTTGCGCCATAGGTTGCGCCCTCGGAAGCCGAGAATAAAACCGTCTCCTATCGGTTGCGCCATGTGTTGCGCCCTCGGCG